AATACAATGTATATCTCAATTGATGCCATATGTAAGAGTTTGCTCTACGTATGTGCACTTTCTAAAACCAGGTATATTACTGACATTAAGTTGATGAAACAAGGGGCGTATTTGATTGAAAGACGAGCTGCGACTCTCCAGTAGGATTTCTAAATCAAACACCTCGATTATACCGCACTTGGTGTAGAATAAGGTCACGAACATACTCTCCAATTTTACATGAGTGAACAAGAACAAAGATGGCTGACAACATCTACAGGGGGGGGGGGGGGTTGAGACGAGGCAGATGTTTGGTTAAGATTTTAGAAATAAATTAACACTTTAGTTAGGAAATAAGCATATTAGGTAATACTTCAGAAGAGGGGATAAAATAAATACTGACTTACTCAAAAATGTGCCAACTTTTTGCCACATTACATCTGTTATTCGTGCATTTTTGGCAGAAGAAAATAAACATTCGTCGTTTTCCCCAACATCGTCTTCACACTGCTCAACGCGTTATCGGCAACTCGGTTGTTATCGGATACTCGGTGCAGGAAAAACAATGCATAGAAAACGTAAGTGATTTTTAATTTCTTCATTCAATGATAATTGTGTATTTCTGCAAACAAAGTTTGTGATCTTTGGTAGATAAATGATGATACTTTAAGCTGTAAAAAGCACGATCCAAATTACTTTCTTTCAAGAGATCTACAGGTCTTTAAAATGAAATTTAATAAAAAAAATTTGATCTGTCAACATATTTTAGCCTTTGTAGAGGCCAAAATCAATTTATTTTATTAAGCAAAGTGATTAATTAACTATATGGACAATCATAAACCTTTAGATAAGCAGACATATATCAAAATTCAAATTATGGTTTAGTTTACGGGCATTTAAAATGTTTAGTTGGGCAAAAACATGTTATCGGCAACACGGTTGAAGTTGCCGGATAATTCGGTTTTTCACTGGTGCAAGATATCGGAAACCTAGGTTAATATTAAGATATATTATCTTTAATTTATCACAACAATAACTGAAGTCTTCTGACATACATGTATTACATTTATTTATTTTTCAAGTTCCCCCATGATTCTCGGAATCACGTCACATTTACAAATACATTTATAGCAGTTGTGGCTTAAGTGGGGGTGGGGGGGTGGGGGGTGTCCCGTATACGAAACAAGTGCCTGTGATTGTGACGTTAGCACTTTTGTTGCTCCGCAAAAGAACGTTAACATAATTTTTAGAAGCTTTAAATAGAATCACCTAGTAAATGAATAGGACTTTTTAAATACTTGATCATGTGATCTACCTTTTGTTTATCATGTGATCTAGCTTTTATCAATCAGATAGCTGTCAACAATAAAGAAAGATAATTCTTCATTCTTTTTATACAATGTTATTTGGATATGTAGTGGATTAAGGAGACTATCCTTTAACGAAAAGCATGGTCCAAAAATAAAAAGATAAAGAAAAATAATAAAGTCCACTGGGTTTTTATTGTGCAACACAATAGAGAAAACACTTTAATGAAAGTAAAACTTAACTGATTTCCCAACCTTGAAAATTACCTATTAACGAGAACGGGTGCAGGTTGATTAACTTCAGTTCCTCATAATTATGTTTAAATTTTGCTGCAGTCAGTGATTGGCGTTTTCAATTACAAAAGGGTGGGGGGGAGAGAATCAAATAGTAATGCAAAATCCAATTAAGTGACCCCCTCCCCACCCCCCACCCCGATTCATCTGAGCAGGAACACTACACATTGCATATGGCCAATAATAAAGAAGGCCACTGTGCTTAATTTAACCATTTACAATATATCAGGGGTTTTTTATTCCTTCTTGGTACGCTTAACAACCTCCGCTGTCTTTGGAGATCTGTGTTTAGGTTTTTGTAATTTTATATCAATCTCTTTTCTCCTCAAAAGTTTGAATTCTGTCATATAAATTGGTCTAACGCCCTATTTGAAAAAAAAAACTGTTAACTACCCTTGAGTTTAAATTCTTTAATTCCTTTACACTAAACTTATAAATGTATTCGTGTTGGAAAAGTTGTGAATTTGAATATCGGTGTCGCCTGACCTAAGTCCATTGAAAATGGCTTGCATCTGTTCGTTCGCTATACGCTCATCACCTTGATTGGCTGTATGATGTTTAACGCCCTCTTGAGAATTTTCAATGCATATGGAGACACCATCAATTGCCGGCGGAGAACTACAAAACTTGTCCTATACTCGGCAGTCAGGGCAATTTAGCAGTGAGGAATATTTTTGTGCTAGCACCTACTGCGGCGTCCCACTTTGGGATACGAATCCGCGACGTAAGGATCGACACCTTACTAGACCACCCTAGAGCAGACACTCTAACAACGGGCAACCTCAGTACCTTGAAGTAAAATTTAAAACTAATAAAATATCTTCAAACAGATCAAGATCATACAGACCTCAGTGATAAATGCCAGAAAACACGCATTTTTTAAAAATTACATATTCTTAAAAGAAGCAAATAATAGCCAAAAATTAGAATTGTTTGCCAGCCACTTTAAATATTTAGAATTTATGCTGGTGTCTGTCGTTTCTTTACATTTTTCCTAAGCTATCTCAACCTTTCTTTCGTTAAGCAAAACCGAAGTTTCCGATAACCAAAACCGAAGTTTCCGATGACAAGGTGCATTATTCAACCGTATTTCCGATAACATACTGAAAATTAAAATTGGGCAATTTTTGTCCTTTAGTAACTTATTTGCAAGATTCTGATGATGTCTTCTTGTTGTTAATCATTAACGCTAGGCAAATATAAGGATTTTGAAGAAAAAAAGCTATTTACAGCGATGCCAATTAGAGAAAAACTTGCAAAATATAACAAATTTGACTTTTACAGCCTTCCAAAGGCTAACAAATGCACTTCTAATACGTATCGAGGCTTTATTTTGTATCCATATTTATTTCTGTTTCCAAAAATTAAAATGAACATTCTCTGTTTCCAATTTAACAGAGTTTACTTGAAATAATTTACTAACCTGTAAAAAATTGTTATCAACCGAGTGTCCGATAACAACCGAGTTGCCGATAACGCGTTGAGCAGTGTGCGTCTTATCTTTGCTTTCTAAAAAAATCATCAATAAAATAAGGCAAAACAATGAATGGACATTTTCAGTGCACTCAGGTTGTGTTCTTGTCGTTTGATTAAAAAGAAACTGTGTTCGTTTGTGCATATGCTCAATACCAACCCGACTCAACGCTCAAGTTGAAAATCAAATTCACCCAAAGGGGTCATAAGTCTTGTTTAAAGTCATAATTTCGTAAGTTCTGTGGTCGATACAATGACCTTGTCAGCAAATAAAATTTATCATTGAGTAAAATGCTTACTGACCTTTTTCATGGTTCTTGTTAGTCCATGAATTATACGCTGGGTTGACAACAGATTTTTCCCAACTTCCCGATCATGACAAGGAGCACAAGGCGGGTGTGTTCGGTAGGCAGGGGATGCTCACTCCTCCATGGCACCTGATTCCATCTCTGATATTTTGGAGGTCCGTGTTTGTTCTGCTCCTATTTTAAACACTGTTAAAGCCATATATGGCGTAACTGATCAAAAAATATATTTTTGAAAAATACAAAATTAAGTAAAGAAATGTAGTTTATACATCTAAATTAAAGCTTTTCATACAATTCTGAACACTGAGAACACCTCGTTTCACCCAATAATACAATTATATCTTCTCTATAATGTGTTATTTAAATCTTTTGTATTTTCTTCCGAGCCGGAGAAAATTCCGAGAATCCAAATTAAATTGTGATATCTTTATAACGCAACTGACTTAGATTTTGTAATTAACGGAAAAGTTCTATCTTTATATAAAGTAATCATACAAATAATAAGTTCTTATAATTTTAGTCTGATAATTTTCATTGTACATACGCCATATATGGCTTTAAATAGTTTTTTTTTTATTAGCTTGAGTACTGTTCGTTATCTCCATATGTTTCATTCCGCATGACCTATCGGTATATTTTTTGTCTAAATATTGATATTATGCAAATATAGTGAACTTTAATCACTCCTTTAAAAAACTCTGTTATTTTCAGTTTTTGAAATATTGTTTTTCGTCATATACACGTACATAAAATATAAATAAAAAAGGATATTAAAAAAAAAAACTGCATTTGTTTTTGTTTCATTTTGAATAGAAATTTTCCGTTGTAAACTTGGAAGAACTCTTTTATTTAAAAATGATAATATACATTAAAGAAAAATCTAATTTCTTTATCAAAAATAAAATACATTTGTTACAAAATATTGTAAATTACATAAGCTTACACTGGTACTTGACACACTTGTAAATTTTGTGAAAAATTGAACTGAAACGCATTAAATATTTACTGCATATACTTATATTAATTTTTCATATATTACAGAACTTTGCTAAATAGGATCCACAATCCAACTGCCAAAAAAAGATATCATATCACACATTCGTAGTACACATTTATTATACATGTTATACTTAACATAAAGTTTAGTCAAAATTATTAAAATCTAAGAGGTGAAAAATTCTAACAAAAATCAAATCAAAATTATTAAAATCTAAGAGGTGAAAAATTCTAACAAAAATCAAATCGAAATCATTTCTTTTTTCTTTCTTTTGGTGGGGGACCAAATTACCAAAAAAGGCGGGCAGGCCCTCTGGTCATTGCAGTGACATTTGTTTATATATCAGTTAATAATCTTTAATAAAAAAAAACCAACAAAACTTTCATTTCGGGAAATTGTTTTCGTCTCAGTATGGAAATAACTTATTGCTTATTTTTTTTTTCAATAAACCAGTACACTAGGAAAACATTACAGAGTTTTATATTCAGAAGTTTTCCTTAAAGCATGAATATTATTTTTGTCCTGCGACACTTTTTTAAAAATTAAGGAATATTCATCTCAAAATCGGTTTCTTAGTTGGAGGTTTTGAAAGAGTTGCGCCCCTTCCGCTGCTCGCAAAGCAAGCGTCGGAGTAACGCAGATGAACAGAAGCATTTTGACAGTGAGCGAGTGATTTTCGAGATGTAAATAAATATCGGTAAAATGTAGTAATTCTGGGATTATTGTGCACAAGATGGGGACACAGCGTGTCCTCTTTTATTTTTATGTGATATTGTGTGGGATCGAGCTGGACTTGATCGTGAATTCAGAGAAGATCCGTGAGTATCTTGTCTCTCTATTGTCATCGATTTTCGCCGTGTTTGAAAATTCTGCATGAGTCATGTCTTGGTTGTGGGAATCATAACTCCAGTGTTAGACTCAAGCAGCTCATTATTTTGTACACTTTATCGTACAGCCTCAGTTTTCTGCATTTCTTGTGATGGAATGAACAATATATTACAGTACAAAAGCAGTTTTTGTCAGCATTGAGTCTTAGCTTTATAAAGCCCTTGTTCATGTTGTGTGAATTGTAAATCGAGGGTGTGCAAATTTACTCGATAAAACGATATACATAATAGATCAGAGGGCCTGCATTATACATGAAAGAAGTTTTTTTTTAAGTGTCAATTCATTGTTAAGTTTTGGTTTCTTTCATTGCCCATACTTCAGACCAGTGGCGAATGTGAATTAAAATTAAATAATTTCAAATATTTGGAAATTATGATAAATCATTAAATGCGTGTTAAAGAATTATTTATGGAATGTGGCGGTACATTTAAGCATTTTTTAAATAAAAACATTGGGCAGTTCATATGTGGTTAGGCCAGAGTTTTTTTATTTTCTGTTTAACGGGAATTTTTAAGAAAAAGTTGGGTCGAGGGGACGAAATAAAAATAAAAATAAAAGATCAAAATTTGTTGAGTCGGGGACATAATAAAAATAAAACCAAAAAAATGGTGTGAATTTTTTTTTTTCATTTAAATGTTGAAAAACAAAAGAAAACACAATACAATTTTTTTTACAATGTATTTGGATTTCAAATACGGATATAAAGATACGACTGCATAAGTTATCCTACTGTGGTTAATCACACTTGTAATTTTATTCTAGTATGAAAGCAAATCAATATAATATTATAATTTAAATTTTTTATACGGCAACAATAACGTTGGATAGATGCAGATGACCGAAAAACCACACTGCTTAAAATTGTACACAGGTCTTCAAGTGATCATCTATCTATCTTATAAAATTTATAAAGTCATGAAAAGAAATGTTTTAATCTACAAGACATGTATATTATGATTTAACAGAAGTTAAAAAAAGCAATGGGGTTGATGTCTAACTTGACAATACTCTCTTAGTATAAAGGGATAACACATTTTTGAGTTTCCAAATGGAAATTTGTCAGCTGAACTTTTTGATGAACAACAGCAAAGTTATCCTGGACCAGGAAGTCTTCTGAACTCTTCACAAATGGTTGCATGGGTCTCTACCAAGAAATCAAACTGCAAAAGAAATTCCTTTATGAATATGATACTTTATTAGAAAATCAAATACATGTAGTAATGGTAGAAAGTAGATGATTTAAAAAAAACATATTTACATGAGATTATTTTCTTTTCCAAATGAAGATGCAAAATATTTTATGAGTTTTTTCTCAGATAAAAAATAACTTTAATATTAAATTGTTCTTTGTCCATTTTGCACTAAAAGTATTAAATTGCCCACTTCTTTCTATCCCTACCTTTACACGGGATATGTGCAACTCCAATATAGCTGTCACTTCACTTGTCAGTATTCTATACCAACCCTTGTAATTGTGTAGGAATCCTAGCCTCATTTTATTCAACCAATTAGACATGGACTCGGATCTAAAATATTTTAATCATCATTTTTATGTCCCTGATATAGTTAGACACGATTCATTGTAAGATAAAATTTTACCGCGAATTTTACCTCAACTTTTTATGTACCAGATGTGATTAAATTAAATCTAGAATGTAAAATCTTTAAAAACAAAAAAAAAAAAAAAACATAAAAATGCCAAACACTGACAAATTTTAACAGAAAGTTTATATCAACGTCTCAAAACTTACCCCAACTATTTGGACACATGCTTCCACAGTTCAATGTGCATCTGTTGTATATAGGTTGTCAATGCTTCAACTCCTATTTCAAGAACTTTCTTGTTTTCATCATCAATGGATTTCAAATTACCGTCTATAAATGTATTGAAATGACATTCTTGCTTGTTGATAGAACCCGGGAAATGTGATAAACTAGTTCCTTAAACTGGTTACGACACCGTTATCAGCAAGACGCTCTTAAAAGACTTTGATTAACACAAGCTTTGTCAAACGTTTACATGATTCTTTAAAAAATAAGGTGTACATCAAACCCGATTTTATTTCAAAACATCAATGAAGGACACAGTCGGCGGGTATTTTGAAAATAAAAGTGAAATTGACCTCTTTTATTTTTATTCGGTATTTTGAAAAAATAGGGTCGGCGCTTCCCGTTAAACAGAAAATAAAAAAACTATGGCCTTACTGGTTAGTACGTATCACCTCTACCATTCATTAAGTGAGGTACTGAGATTATGAATAATGAAAGTAGAAAAACCCCAAACCACAATTCTAGGATTTCTTCAGACTATAAAGTATGGGTAGCATGGGATGAATGATTTCTCTTTATAAGTTTTTTTTTTAATCCCCACGATATTGCAGTGTGCAATATTATGTACTTTATTATGAAACAGAAATCCATCATATGGACATATTGAATGGATTTCTGTCAGTTTTACTAGTCTAACTACATATTATTAATGGGTGGCTCGCTTGGCACATAGACAGTGGTTCCATAAGAGTGTCTGCTCTAGAATCACAGACTAATGAGTTGATCCTTGCATCACAGGTTCCAATTCTATCCCACTTTGGGGGAAATTGGGACATGGAGACCAGTCTTTTGTACGAGTCTGTATAAACTGAAGTCCCATGTCTTAGTAAGTGCTGGCACAAAAAAGATACCTCTTTGCTTAATGACCCTGATTGCCTAGAAGAGGTTAAAAACTGCAGTTAAAAATTACCAATTAATTTACTGTAAAATGATAACATTTATTAAAATTTATCATTAGATTTTACTGTACAATTCAAAATCAACTCAAAATTTTTATATTATGATATGATATATTAAATAATCTCCCTGTTTTATAGGATTTGACTATGTTCAACTTCTACAACAAATCCCTCCAGACACCCCCCTACCTTACGAAATCATCTTCCCCAAACGAATCCTGACCAAAGGCAAGACCGCAGGGATATCAACCCGAGAATCGAAGATCGGACATCATGTAAGTCAATCTATAGAATGTCAACCAGAGAATCAAAGATCGGACAATAGCTAATTTTAGTAACCTCCAATATGTCTGTTTGATTGAGTTGGTAATGTATACTCTTTCTTTCTGTTTAATTTGTCATCTACTCGGGGACATAAGTGATATAGCTATTTATACATCAATGTATACTCTGTGATGTTTTTAATTCATCTGTGCATACTGTGTGATGATGTTTATACAGGGGACGTACGAACACATAGAACAAGTGACATTTCAGCTCGTGGTCGACGAAGAAACTCACAAAATCAAACTTCAGAGAAACAGGTGAGCTTCAGTTGAACTGTGTATAAGCATTTAAAATAAAACTTGATGTAAGATTGACACTATCATGACTACACAATATAATTTTACTAAACATCATAACTGAGCTAGACACTTTTTTTGCAGTGCTCTTTTGTCCAATGGAATCAGTGTCAAACAGTACCTTACCAAAAATCAGCAAATCATTTCCAAGGTAAGTCTGCCTAATCTCTTGTAAATGAGTCTGTGCTGCATGGTTCATAGATTCGTGAATCTTTCCTCATCAGTGCCTTTAGAATTTGAGTTTGTGCTGGTGCCTAGATTTGTAAGTCTGTCCTACTGCCTGGGTTTATGTCTGTACTGATGAAGAATGGCAGGGCCATATTGATTCAGATGAACATTGTGGCCCATGGGCCTCATGTTTGGTCAGTGTATGTCACAATGTAAATTTAGTTAAAGATGGTACAAAAAAAAAACATTTAAACCTTTTGAAAGACACACATTTCTTTGAATTGAAACAATAAACTGAGCAAATGCTGAAGATTCACCCAAAACAAAAACAAAAAGAAAGAAATGAACAGAATAAAGCTGGATGGAGAACCCGTGAATTTTTGAGCTGTGTTTTTTTCTCTGGAGAAAATAAGGGAGCGTTAAACCAGTGATGTAGCATCACTTAAGTGTTTTAAAGCTGGCAGGGGTCCACACACACATTAAAGCTTCTTTCTGATCTACTGCACCTGAGAACACTTAATCCCAGGAGAAGCAGAAACTCAGACTAAACATAAATACTTCACTTGTAGAGAGAATCAGAGGGAAGAGTTTTCTGTGTACTCGACACATTCTCCATACTAGGAAAATGAAAATCCACAATTTTCTTTGAATATTTACATGATATACATATGATGACTGTGTAAGAATTAAGGGTCACTCTTTGACAAATTGTTGTTTGTTTCTGAACATTTAGCTACCCCAATGGTTTATATGACAGGTAAAAGTTAGCTGACTAGAAGACAATAACTGTTTCAATAGTGTACTGTAATAAATGTTTATTCTCTGCTAAATTCTTAAATAGATGGAAGTTGCAGGAATTATTTATTTAAGTCACCCTTGACACAGTATGCATATACTTCATTCTGACTAACTGGAGAAATAATTTTACTCAGCATGCTCAGTACTAAGAAAGTTTTTTTATTTATAGATTTGTGTCCCACTCTAATTTTTTAGTTAATATTAAATAAGAACTGGAATTGATTCCTAGTAGATGATGCTGGTATTATGGTAATAATATGGTGATATATGAGCTGTGCTGTAAATGTTAGAAAGTCCTGGTTATTATATGACCCGGTTTATTCTGATGTCTACAAGCTAATTAAGGGTCATCATTGTCTCAGGGGATAGGGGGCCTATAGAAATAAGACTCAGGAACTATGGTCCTGATAATAATATCATGGATATAGGGTATTGACTTCAGCTATCCTGTAGAGCATGAAATAAATTAATTATAAGAAGTGGAATTAATGAACATGATGAAGGTGTTGAAGTATCAGGTGCAACAGATGATTTATCAGATGTAAGAAATCTTTTCAGAGCAGTAAGTCACTAACCATCTGCAAAATCAATTGGACTTGTGTAAAGTGAAGGCCAAGGCAGTCTTATTCCTAATTACATTAATACATGGCATTCTAGCTCCTATATCTGTCTTCACAAGATCTTGAAGCGGTTAATTGACTTTACAGATTACTTGTATGTGTTCTCAGATTAATAAATCCTATCTGTCCTATTCGGCATAATTAGTACTGTTATTTCTGTTTCATATTCTTTATAAGCATGATTAGCTTATATCCTGATCTTCATAATTATTATAGCGCTATGCTTAAGGTATTCACTTCATATAGTCTGTATCCCCCCATTGTGACTGTACTCATACATGTCACAGTCAAACAAAATGACAATTTAACACTACATTAATTGTACATATTGTAAGTCCACTTGGTTATTCAGTAAGTCTACATGTTATTATGTGATGAGTATCAGTGGGTCGACGTTGAGTCTTAAAAACTAAATTATGATAATCGAGTGAAATATGTCCTGAGAAAATCTGTGTAATGTGACCTTATTTCTAATGTTGATTTTGTTCTAATTTTAGACTGTAGAACACTGTTACTATCATGGTGAAGTGAAGCGTGACGGCTGGTCAAGCGTGGCGGTCAGCACCTGTAATGGAATCAGGTAAGGTCAAAGGTCAACAGGGAACTCTCATTGGATTTAAAAGTCAACCCTGAACCTTGTTCAAGGGAATCCAGTGTAAAGGTCAAATGCATGTCAATTAGGTGACCCTTTTTCATTGATTTTTTACACCCATGATTTCGATCCCAACACAAAATTGGATTTAAAAGTAAACCCTGAACCTTGTTCATGAGGGCCGATTTTTGAAATTCGGCCCCAGTCCCAATTAATTTGCCTGTGTTTTCCCAAAATGTAGTGGAACAAAGAAAAACTTACAAAATATCCAGTGTAAAGTGGGTCAAATGCATGTCAATTAGGTGACCCATATTTATGATTGACATTTGCAATCCCTTAACATTGCATAGAAAATAACATTAATGTAACATTATTTACAATCCAAATCTTGTACTATTCATCTAAATCTTACAACATACATTATCTACTTCAAACTGGTGAACGGGTGATAAAAGAAAGGTATGTTTTACAGATTAATGACCTAATCAATTAAAGTAGGATTAAAAAGATTAATTATTGTATTAAGTAGTTTTATTAATTAAGAAAGTACAAACACTGTTACAGTAGATGCATGATGAACGCAATGGGGTTTCTTAAGAAATAAAGGAGAAAATACAGATAGAGTTTTACTGTAAAATGATTTGGAGGCAGTTATTCTTTTCTAATTAAGGGTGATGTGAACAAAAAATATTAAGCTGATTGGACATCTATAGAAAAATGTCCTCGAAACAATATTAGCAATGTATGGGGTAATTTCGATTGTTTTTATTTACATCATTTAACATATTTACAACACAGTAAACAAAGATTTTGAAAGGGCCCATGCACTTTCTCACACAAATCAATAGTGCTCACTTTCATAAGAACTTAATTAAAGTGCTTTGCTAAATGTTCTTTCTGTGTAAACACTGAGATCAAAGAACTTCTAACTCTCTCTCAATTGATTAAGTTTGTTGTGTAAACAGCATAAATGCTTTGCTAAATGTTCCTTCTGTGTAAACTTGTCAAATCTTCTATTGTTAATTCAGAGGAGAATTCTCTCTGTTAACAGGTTAATGAAGTCTACTGGTAGTTTCTTAGACTAAAGAGATGGTTCAAAATGATCAATCCTATAACAATGTATAAAGACAAATAAACTACTGATTGAAATCAAGATGTCTGTGTGATGAAATTTTTTGAAATTTTTACATACGTTAATCTGTATATAAACATGATAAAATCCCTTTGTTGTTTTAATTACACATGTATGTTACAATACTAAGAGAAAGTGATAGGGAGTAGAAAGCTGCCTCCTCTGTAGATTTGAAAGGAAGATTTAAAACTTCAGAAAACCAGCATCTGAGAGAGAAAAAAGAGAGTATATGTTTCTAGTGTAGAGGGAGGAAGATTAAAGACTTAAGAGATTCAGCACCAGTTATAGACTCCCCTCACATCCTGTTATAGCCTGGGGGTTAACACTGAGAGAGAGAGAGAGAGAGAGAGAGAGGGAGAAAGATAGAGAGAAAGAAAGATATAGAGAAAGAGAGAGAGAGAAAGAGAGTATGTGTTGCAGCAGCAGAGAGAAAGATTAAAGACTTGAGAGAACCTGCCTCTCTCTATATAGACACTCCTCTCCTTCTGTTAGCCTGGCTAAATACCGAGAGAGAGAGAGAGAGAGAGAGTTGCTTCTGTAGCTTAGAGAGAAAGATTAAAGACTTGAGAGAACCAGCGTCTCTCTACATAGACACCCCTCACCTTCTGTTAGTCAGGGTTAACACCGCCTAATGGTGGTGATAAAACACACTTTGATGTTTGTAATCACTCAAAAAAAAACCAACAAGAATGCTGGCAGTTCATCAAGTCATCTAAACTATGTGTAGATAAGGATTTAATTGTCTGTGCAGATGTTGTATGGAGCTTGCATAGAATTATTATAAAGCGGGCTACGTGGTTCTTGTTAATTAAAATAATGCCTGCTGTTTGATTAAACAATTAATAACAGGATCTACAGAACTTCTATTTCATAATTTTGTTTCCATCTAGAAAAAGGCATCAAAAATTTAATCCAAGTCAAATTAATAACAGAATCTATAGAATTTCTATTTTGTAATTTTGTTTCTTTGTGGAAAAAAGGCATTTAAAATTTAATCCAAACTCTGTGGCAATATAATTATCTTAATAGCCTTACATTGATATTTTATTAAAACAATGCAACTTATGTAATGATTATAGATAAAAATCATTAAATTTCATATCCTGGTGAAAAACTCAGCCTGGTGGTCAATAATCTTCTTTGTGTAGAATTTTTAATATTCTGACTAAAACACATTTTACTGTTTCAAGGCTTATTGGATTAGCAACATCATATCGTTACTTAGTATGGTGTAATATTATAGAGATCCTATACAGATAAAAGCTGCTGGGCTTGAAAAATAATCACCATTTATAAATTATTGATGTTAACTGTAGATTCTTTAAGCTGGATTTAATTTCAATTTTGTATTGATATGATTTATTATTTTTTATTCCATTAAACCTTAAAGCATGTTAAAATAAGATTCAAATTGAAACTTGTTTTTATAAAAGTCAGATCGTTTTTCCCCTTGAGTTTTGTGTATAATTTAATTGTGACTATTTATAAGACGACAAGGTGAAGATAATGGACAGGGATCAATCTCAGAAATCTATAATCACATTTCATTAATCATACAAATTTGTAAGCAAGTCATAAAACACAGTCTGCTGGAATCTCAGGGGGCCCGTTTTACAAAGAACTTAATATGACTAAGACCAATTGACCGGTCATATATAACCTGTGTGTACACCATATATAGTGAAGAAACCTATTGCAGTTATCTATTGTTTATTTATTGTTAATTTGAAATTTTTGTCTTTTACAGGGGCTAGCAATATTAAACAGATGTGACTTAAAGTTCTACATCCTCTGAAGGGAGATTTAGTCTAAGATTTGTCATGTGACCTACAAATACATAACTGAAGGGAGATTTAGGGGTAAGATTTGTCATGTGACCTACATAATACATCCATATAAGGAAGATATTAGGGGTAATATATTGTTTATTTATGTGACCTACATAATACATCCACTGAAGGCATTTTGTCTTTTACAGGGGAATCATAAATCTGAACAATGTGACCTACATAATACATCCACTGAGGGGAGATTTAGGGGTAAGATTTGTCATGTGACCTACATAATACATCCACTGAAAGGAGATTTAGGGGTAAGATTTGTCATGTGACCTACATAATACATCCACTGAAAGGAGATTTAGGGGTAAGATTTGTCATGTGACCTACATAATACATCCACTGAAAGGAGATTTAGGGGTAAGATTTGTCATGTGACCTACATAATACATCCACTGAAGGGAGATTTAGGGGTAAGATTTGTCATGTGACCTACATAATACATCCACTGAAAGGAGATTTAGGGGTAAGATTTGTCATGTGACCTACATAATACATCCACTGAAGGGAGATTTAGGGGTAAGATTTGTCATGTGACCTACATAATACATCCACTGAAGGGAGATTTAGGGGTAAGATTTGTCATGTGACCTACATAATACATCCACTGAAAGGAGATTTAGGGGTAAGATTTGTCATGTGACCTACATAATACATCCACTGAAGGGAGATTTAGGGGTAAGATTTGTCATGTGACCTACATAATACATCCACTGAAAGGAGATTTAGGGGTAAGATTTGTCATGTGACCTACATAATACATCCACTGAAGGGAGATTTAGGGGTAAGATTTGTCATGTGACCTACATAATACATCCACTGAAAGGAGATATAGGGGTAAGATTTGTCATGTGACCTACATAATACATCCACTGAAGGGAGATTTAGGGGTAAGATTTGTCATGTGACCTACATAATACATCCACTGAAGGGAGATTTAGGGGTAAGATTTGTCATGTGACCTACATAATACATCCACTGAAAGGAGATTTAGGGGTAAGATTTGTCATGTGACCTACATAATACATCCACTGAAAGGAGATTTAGGGGTAAGATTTGTAAATTGTTTGTAAGAAAACGTAGGGTAAGAATTGTCTGAGTGAAGAACAGCGGGTTACCTCAAATTTCATAAATTGTAATCTGCTCCAGCCAAGCTTGTACATGTATAACTCAGGTAACTTGTTGAAAAAAAAAATAGAGTGACATAATAGATAGAATGTTTGATATTTGTAGAAAGAAGAATATAAAGACAATTATTTCATTCAATTGAATAATATTATAAAGTCAATGTTTATATTTGATTTACAGAGATATGGAAATTGTATGCATGGTATAGAGATGATGTTTACATTTGAAATTAAATGCATAGAGATAATATAGAAAAAAAAATTATATTAGATCAACAGAGATAGAGGGATTTATTATTCAAGTTTACATTTGATTGGTGGAGATATGGAAATATTTCACCAATAAAGTCATTGTTTATATTTGATTGACAGATGAGACACCCACACCTTGTGTTTAAAGCTTCAAGAGAAATCCTGGAGAGTTGTGGTGAGTACTAGAGCACTAAGCAGGGTATCCAAATACAGTGAAACTCGGTCAGTTCGAACACAGATATTGCAAATTCATAGATAGAGCGAAGTTATCTTCGATACCCAGCTATGTAAAATTTAACAAATGTCTTGTATGGATATAATGAATTACGGATATATAGTGAAAATTTTACAGGTCCCAGTGGCTCCGTTATAACTGAGTTTTACTGTATAGGTAAAAAACAGGTAGTACCATTACAAAATATGTGGTACCTTGTGGAAATCATAGAAAAAAATTTCCATCAAATATTTGGCTGGTACAATCATGCTTTCAGTTGGATAAAAGTACTAGATGCTGGCAAGATTTTATCAGAAATAACCAATATCTAGAAGAAGTTACTGTATACAGGGAAATGTTTGGCCCCGTTTTATTTTTGCCCTTTTCGCCCTTACCTCATGAGGGCAAATTTTAAACGGGGCGAAGTAAAAAATTCATAATAATTACTTAAACAAAAGTACAATTGGGTGAATTAGGTATACGGGGCAAAATTGTTTAGCACGGGGTGAAAATAACCCTGTATACAGTAAATTTAAACATTGGTAAACATTTAATGAAAGTTTACTGCCTTTTTTTCAGGTAATGACTTTGGTCAGTGGAAGCCATTTGATCAGCTTCACCCTGCCGAGTTCAGACAGAGAGTCAGCTATCTCAGGGCTCTACAGGTAAATGATGTGTAGATAGAAGAGAGAGATGGGATGTTGGTGTGTGTTGGGCAAGAGCAGAGAACATTAAACTGTATGTTTACAAAGAAGGAGAAGGGTTGGAAAGGGGGGCAAGCAGATATACAGGCTGTGTAAAAAAGTGGAAGAGAGGAGCACACGAATAAAAACAGTCACAGGAAAAAATGTGAAGAGACGTGGTCAAGAAGATATACAGGCTGTGTAAAAAAGTGGAAGAGAGGGGGGCAAAGCAGATATACAGGCTGTGTAAAAAAAAGTGGAAGAGAGGGGGGCAACCAGATATACAGGCTGTGTCAAAAAGTGGAAGAGAGGGGGGCAACCAGATATACATGCTGTGTAAAAAAGTGGAAGAGAGGGGGGCAAGCAGATATACAGGCTGTGTAAAAAAGTGGGAGAGAGGGGGGCAACCAGATATACAGGCTGTGTAAAAAAGTGGAAGAGAGGGGGGCAAGCAGATATACAGGCTGTGTAAAAAGGTGGAAGAGAGGGGGGCAAAGCAGATATACAGGCTGTGTAAAAAAGTGGAAGAGAGGGGGGCAAGCAGATATACAGGCTGTGTAAAAAAGTGGAAGAGAGGGGGGCAAAGCAGATATACAGGCTGTATTAAAAAGTGGAAGAGAGGGGGGCAAGCAGATATACAGGCTGTATAAAAAAGTGGAAGAGAGGGGGGCAAAGCAAGTTAGCAGGAGCAGGGGATGACAAATCCCATTGCCCGACGCCCGGGGCTAGTGAATTTTAGGGGTGTACAAGTGACATTTTATCAACCACTTGCCCACCCCTAAAACTACCCTTAAGCAAGTGGCTTATCAAAAATAGAATTTATTTGTAGGCCATAAATTTAAAGCTTGGCATAGGGACTTGTATGATTTACTCAGCATTTGTCCTCCTCCTTTTTGAAATATCTATAAATACAGAATTAGTTTATGGTAGGGCAAGCAAAAATTCAGGTAGGGCAAGTCAATTTTGACCATGTACTTGCCCTTGGACAAGTGCCTTAAAAGTCTATTTGTCAGTCCCTGAGGAGGAGTAGAAGGCATGTGTGTGTGGGGGGGGGGGGTGCCTTGTGGAATTTAATGTATGGTGTATACAGAAGGAGGGTGGGGTTGGCATTGTGTTGTGATGTCAAATGAGGAAGGCAGAGGAAAATGATAAATATGGAAAGAACTGTGTATGTTCAAAGTGGAGAGTGGGAGTCTTTAGGAGGGAGGGGGTGGAGATAATGTACTTGTATGTAAACTGGCACATTCAAAACTGTTTTTGCTTTGACAGGCTTCTAACCCAGAGCAGAAGAGGAAAGAGAGAACAATCAAGCTGGGTCTGATACTGGATAAAAAATCTGTAAGTCTGATTTCTTTATCTTCTCTTTGAAACATTTATCACTCATATTGAGTCCCCACCACTTGGTGATAATTGTCTGATACCAGGCATTGAATCAAATGCTTTTTAGAAGTTAAAATTTACAAATCCATACAATAGATCTGTTATTGAATCAAGTATTTGGTATCTTGGAAGCAGACCTGTTAACTTTACTCTTATGATTTTGCCATAACTTGTACGAATTATGAGTACAAAATTTGTTTTACGTTTTGACATCATAAAAATATAGAAATCAGAAATCTGTTCATTTGGACTTGAGCTAAAATTAGAGAAAGATTTCAATCACTAAATGTCAGGTTGCCAAAAGGCGGTGGTGTACTAAACCATGTTTTAGTAATCATAAAATTAATGTAGTTGTTCTATAGATTAAAGTACATATATATTTAATATCGATGGAAAGTGGAAATCTTACCATGCATACTGGTAAATGTCAAATCATGGACAACTCTAATAAAATTTCTTAGAGTCAACAAGCCTGTGGAAGTTTTATTTAACAATTTCATTTGTGTTTTAAAATCTGAAGCCTTGGTATTTATACATTATATTGCCCTTCGGCATTATAGAATTTAATCATGTGACCAACTTCATGTCATATCCCAATAAAACTTTAAAAATGAAATCTTATGATATTTCTTAATTATCTATGTTTTTTTTTATGTTTATGCTTTTTAGATAGACAAACTGAACCTTTCACTGACAGGAACCATTGATTATGCCTTACAGACAGTGAACGCTGTAGACTTGGTAAGTGAAGGTCTAATTGTATATGAATAATATATATATTATATATACATGATATATGTAGAGAGAGAGAGAGAGATTATGCCTTACAGACAGTCAATGCTGTAGACTTTGTAAGTAAAGGTCTACAAAAATACAAATTTCAATAATTTGTAAAATTGTCATTGAATGACGAAAGTTCTTTTTTCTCCCACATCTTTGTGTCGATCCTTGGAAAACCACTCTACCCCCTGTATTTTCTGAGGTAGTCTGAAAATCCCAACTCTGTATATGATTGGTCAATTTTTAAGTCATGACTGTTGCAGATATTTATATCCTATAATGTTTTTGAAATATTGACCTCTGTTTTACTGTACAGTAGTATTAATACAAAAGGTAGGCTTCTTATTATTACTTTTTTATTATTTTACTTGAATTTCAGTATTAAAGCAAATGTTAAGATTAGCAATTTAGGGTCCAGTTGTTCCAATTATTTTCCTCTCTACTTTCAGTATTACAGTACTTTAGGGGTCTGAATGTTAAGATAATTTTATGTTCTACTTTCAGTATTACAGTACTTTAGGGTTCTGAATGTTAAGATAATTTTATGTTCTACTTTCAGTATTACAGTACTTTAGGGGTCTGAATGTTAAGATAATTTTATGTTCTACTTTCAGTATTACAGTACTTTAGGTGTTGGAATGTTAAGATAATTTTACATTCTATTTTCAGTATTACAGTACGTTAGGGGTCCGTATGTCTCTGGTTTACCTAGAACTCTGGAATCGTGGGGACCTGGTGACTGTATCCTCAAACCTACGAGAGAATTTAAAGCGTCTGTTACAGTACAAATCATCATCTCTAGAAGACAAACCTCATACATTGCTACATCTTGTTACGTAAGTTATCTCATTTAGAATCAATAATTGTAAAGCGAGTGTTTACATACAATTTCTTAATTTTTAGCAATATACAAGTAAGTACTGTATACAGGGTTATTTTCGCCCATGTTATTTAAGCCCTTTCAGGCTAGCAAACAATTTTCCCCCATTTTAAATCTGCCCAAATTTTAGAAATTATACAGTATTCTTTGAATTTGCCCTGTTTTAAATTTGCCCAAATGAGGGTAGGGTGAAAGGGTAGAAAATAAAACATAGGCAAAAATTTCCCTGTATACAGTAATAGGTCTTAAAGAGGAGTGAATTAAGAGACTTTACCATTCCTAGTAAATTCTGTAATTTTGTAATCCCTTATGGGGAGATAAGCTAAACATAAACTAGAGTTACATCTCTTTGCATGTAACATAAGTAAACTAATGTACTGCTTGTAAGCTTTGATATTTCAAATAAAGTTTCAGAATTCACTGAGAAATATCAGAAGTCTCCACATTTATTTTGATTATTCATCGGTAAAATAAAATTTGCAATTTAATCTAATTTTATTTTCCAGTGGTGAAAGTCTACAGAACAACTCAATGGGGATGTCTGTACCGGACTCTGTGTGTACTGACAGGGCAGTAGGGATCAGTAAGGTAAAATTAAAACGGGGATATTAAAACATCATTGTATATATATAGAGCTTTTGTCTTCAACAAGGTAAAACTTGACTTGGCTTGTATTCAAAAAATCACAGTATAGATATTAGACCAATTTCTTTGAAGAAAACCTAATATTAAGAAACTAATTCTGTTTCCAGCATTCCTTTGACATTAAACTTAAAACATTTGTAAGCACTTCTGTTTTACATAACATGTACTTTTAAATCTCTGATTTATAATCTCATTTGTTTTGTTTACAGAGCCCCTCCTTTACTGAGCCCCAGAAGTTGGCCTCTGTTCTCGCTCATATGATTGGTCACAACTTAGGACTCAAGCATGATGAAGATGGTGAGTTGATCTTGGTCTCCTAGACTCTTGTAATTCTCTGTAGGTAAAACTAGGTGTACACATAATTATTAACGAAGTGGTCATGCTTGCTCAGAGATAGTCAATTTTTCATGTGTGCATCTTTTGAATGATTTCATCTTCTAATCCAACATCTATTTTTAGAAAAAATGCTAAGATTCTGAATTTAAATGATATTTTGTTAGAACAATGTAAGCCAAATCTGAGATAGTGTTTTTTTTTTTTAAACAACTATAAATTGTATTTTCATTTGACATCAGTCAGTGGACGATTCATTTACCATCAAGGTAACCTTCATTCAATCATGGCTTTTTGTGTCCAAATTGATCTATTATTTTGTTCCCCGGTGTTTTATTATTTTGATTTGTCCTTTTAAGTTTTTGCATGGATTTTACATTGTAAGATTTACATGTACTGAATGTTTGCAAGTCAATGTAATTTTTTTGTTGTCAGCAAGAAAATAATTTTTTTGTCGATTGCAATACCCATTATGATTTACAGTCATCCTATAGATAGCAGGACTTCAATACATTATGATTTCAGTTCACTGAGATCTGAGATCAGAGACTGATTGCATTTCAAAGTTTACAATCTCTGAATGAAATTAATTATCTGCATTACATTAAATATATTTGGTTTATTGGGACTGTAATGGAATATTGAATGTTTATTTTTGACTTTAATTGTGAGTTTTTTGAGATCTTCCTCAATAGCTAGACATGTTTAATATATTTAGAAAGAGTGTGATTATGGAAATTGTAATCCCAGGTGCATTGGTCGGCTAGGTATTTGGGAACATTTCTCTCCTGATATTGGGCAATTGGAGTAGTGGACTCCAACTCATGGAAGAAAATGTTCACCTTTCTCTTAAATACTGTATACAAAAATTTCAATGTTTTGACCCTCCTCATGAGGGCGAATTTTTTGTTCAATATTAAACAAAATGAATTTAAAATGGGGCAAATTTGTTTAACAGTGTGAAAGGGCGAAAATAACACGGGGCGAAAATAACCCTGTATACAGTATATTGTTTTGAAGGTCAGTTAGACTGATGTTTATTGTTCAGTCCTTGCCCTAATTTTGGATGGTAGGTTTGTAGGATCTAAAAAAAAATGTACATATTTTAGAAAGAAGTTCTTTTTGAAAATTTATGCAGTCTATAGAGATCCCATGATATTGATAAGGGGCCCAATTTTGATATTGATGGAGAGATTCATCTTAATTCCTATTGGAAAATTACATATCAATAATGTATAAATTGTCTGTTAAAATATTGTTTTTCTTTTGGTATTTTAGGTGACCTTTGGTTCCCTTGTAAACCTTTTTTATACCAGTGGCTCTGTTAAATGTGTGTCATGTGCCACTTTTTTCTGTAAATTTTACCATTTGTTTGATAAATGTGTGATTCACCTCTGTTTGGTCACCATGGTGACCAGTAGACATTTGTTCCCAGCAGACAAGCTTTGTTTTCTAATGAGTTGCAGCATAACCAAACATGTGACCCTTATTGTTGTCATGGAGATTTGTTCAGTCTGTTGAAGTCTTAATCCCAGACCAACACTATTGTCACTATATGAAGATTGGCTTAACATGTCAAAACCATTTTTTTTGTGATTGAATCTTTGTGCTGCATGCACTGTCATATTTCTCTAAAGCATCACAGATCCATCATAAGTTACAGTAATACTGTTTTTAACCATTCATTGATGATGATTAATTATGGTAATTTTTAATTAATTATTAATCCTGTGATTATTTGACACAACAGGTGGCTGTTCTTGTGAGGATGAATTTGGCTGTATTATGTCGACACATGTACTGTAAGTAAGAGATACAAGTGTTTTGTTAATATACATTATCGGTAATTTTGTACAATTTTGTACAATGCATAGTGCATCACACATTCTGTGATTATTTACAACTGATAAATTCTCTATGCCAGTACTAAGTTTTTCTGTGTCCTGAAACTTCTGAGTTTTTGAAGCTGAAGCTGTTAGTGTACATACAACCAAGAGTACAGCTAACTAAGGTAATTAATAATTCGTCTGTTTACAGAACAAAAACCGGCCTCCAGGCGCGGAAGTTTTCCTCGTGTAGTCGTGAAGATCTAGAGGTGGCTCTAAGTGTAGATGTGGCCTCCTGTCTGGATACTCAGCCAGAGAAAGAGGTGATTAACTTAATTAGCAGATATGGTTAATTAACTGAAGATGATATCTAATAAGCAGTTACTGTTAGATTAGATTAGATTTATGAAGGAGATACAGATAATTAAAATGAGATAAAGTTATGTTGATTAGCAAATATTGTAAATTATTGAGACACTTCATTAGCAGATATGGTTAATTAAGTTGAGGATGATAACAGATAATTTTTATTTGAAATATATTTTTTTTTTCAGGAGACATTTAAACAGAAATGTGGAAACCTGATTGTTGAGAGAGGTGAAGAATGTGACTGTGGGTCAGCAGAGGTCAGTAGGTCAAATGCCACAAGGTCATCTGTAGGTCAAAGTCAAATCTGTGTGCATCTTAAGGTTAAAGAAAATTTGAGGGATTTGTGTGAATAGGGTTTGATTATATCTAGCTACTTTGTTGCCTTACTTAATGAAGTTAGTTCTGTTTTAGTTGAGAAGTCAAAGAGTAGATTTGATTTTCCTCTGCTAAGATTTTTGGTTGGTGAATATCTACACACAACCTGCTAGTAAACTATGATGCTATCGATTTCTATTTTATCTTACTGATCTTTTGTTGTTGTTTTCTGTAGCAATGTCAGCTAACAGATCCATGCTGTGATCCGGACACATGTTTCCTCAAATCCTGGGCCCAGTGTAAAAGTGGGACCTGTTGTCACAACTGTACAGTAAGTTATTTAAGTTTAATTTGTCAGATCAGTGTAAAAGTAAGTTTTGGAGACCTGTTGCCACCACAAAATTGTACAGTAAGTAAGGAGGAATATATTGTCAAATTGTATCTGAATGGCTTTAAAAAGAATGTATTTATAGTCAAACCATCAAACCAGTGTAATAAGGACACTGTGATATCAGAATCCATTCACCAAAATTGTACATTGAGACAATGTTAAGAAGAATTTTTGTACTTTCATTTTCTCTACTTTCAGTTTCTGCCGAGTCATTATGTCTGTCGGGAGCAGTCTACAGATTGTGATGTCCCAGAGATGTGTCCAGGAAACAGTGGAGAGGTAATGTATAGTGTGTAGGATTAGGGGAGTGTGTGTGTGTGTGGGGGGGGGGGGGGATGACGTGTCCAGGAAACAGTGGAGAGGTAATGTATAGTGTGTAGGATAAGGGGAGTGTGTGTGTGTGTTATTGGGGTCCCGGAGATGTGTCCAGGAAACAGTGGGGAGGTATTACGTCTAGGATTTGTTTCCAGGAAACCTTTGGGAGAGGGGTGGGGGATGGGATAATTATAAATCAATTTATTCTTAAAGCTGAACAGGATCGTAAGTAGGCATAGTGTGTGTGTGTGTGTGGGGGGGGGGGGGGGGCTCCAGGAAACAGTGGAGAGGTAATGTATATTTTGTGTATGACTATGATATCAGCACCTGAGCTGGGGCTACACTCTTGGCATTCGTTACATCTGACTGCTTTATTGTCACATGTATCAGATGGATGGTTATCTGCATTACCATTGTTTACATTTTATTGTAGTAGCAAAAGTCCAATAAAAAATGAACACATTTTATTTAACTAATCATGTTCAGCTTTAAAGAAAACATATATTTCATCTAGACATCTATATATTTTGCTGATTTCTGATTTTCAATCATTGACAAATGACTATTGATTATCTTCATCATTAAAATTTATATAATCTCTATTTCAGTGCCCGGTCAATAACTATGTTGCTGATGGCTACCCCTGCTCTTACAACACCGGCTACTGTATCAGTGGGATCTGCCCCACCCTGAGGGAGCAGTGTCAGTACATCTGGGGGGAGGATTCATCAGGAGCGGACCTACAGTGCTTCGAGAAGTTTAACCCCACGGGGAACTTCAACGGACACTGCGGCAGGAACGAGGAGACAGGATGGTTCTCTAAATGTCTGCCAGAGTATGTAAAGTCAAATCATAATTAACAATGATAATAATTAATTAATTAATAACATGAGACGGGATGGTTCTCCAAATGTCTACCAGAGTATGTACATAATGAAGTCAGATCATTATTAACACAGACTGTTAAGATCATTATCTCATTATGATAGATCATTATGTGTAATGAATATTTACACCTGAAAGTGGTTAAATTGTAAGGGTTGAATGTTTAAAATAACATATAGTAAGCAGGGTTGTTCCCGAAATTGAAATAGTAGAGAACATTAAAAATTTAAAGTAGTTATATTACTATAGTATTGTAATCTCATTACATTGTTAGTATTGTATTGTTACATGATTACAGGAATATCCAGTGTGGTCTGTTACATTACTATAGTATTGTAATATCATTACATTATGTTGTAATATAGTTACATTATTACATGATTACAGAAATATCCAGTGTGGCCTGTTACATTGTGAAGGAGGACATAAACTTCCTCTTCTGAATTTTGACAAAAGTTTTTCCAAAACCACCGTCTTCAGCAACGGAAAGGAGTATGACTGCAAGTATGTGTCAGATTTATAGAGAGATAAAAATGATAATGATATAAATATCAGTCAAGTGATTTGCAGATGTACAACAGTACTGGGTGAAGATTTCATACAGTTATACTTATGCCTGGTTACAGAATAACACAAACATAAAGATTTGATTCAGTTTTAGTTATGTCAAGCGCATATAAACCAAACAGAAAAACTTTTAACTTTTAGTGATATTCTCTGAGCCTCATCTTTACAGCTATTTATGGACCAGCTGTGATATTTTTAACTATTGGGGATATTCCTGTATCTTTAGGGCTATTTATGGACCAGCTGTGATGTCATTGCCTCACTTTGGACTGGTACAGGAAGGTACGAAATGTGGAGAAGGCAAAGTTTGTCGCAACAAACAGTGTGTTACCATGCCAACAGTTCCCAGCATGCTCTGTCCTGGATCTAAGGGCAATGTGGCTTGTTCTGGGAATGGGGTAGGCCAGGAGTCGATTCTTCATTCTTATTTTCACGAGAAATCAAGATTTATTGCCCTCATATTGGGAAATTGTAATGTCACTGATTTTTCAGGATTGAATTTTCTTAGTTTAAGAAAAAAACATATATTTAAAGTTTTAGCTTATATCTGAGTTCCTCTTCTTTAGGTTTGTACAAAAACCGGAGCCTGTTTCTGCCACCAGGGGTGGAGCGGTCACAACTGCTCCTCGCTGGCACCAATCACCATGACAACAGGAGTGTGGTCCCTGACCAGCACCGCTAGGACGACCGTGGCTCCCAGCCCCACCACTACAGTCACAGAGAAACCACCGGTAGTGGTCCCCTTAGTGACCCCTGATGATGCCGTCCCTTCTGTCTATGTTGGTAAGTCTAACTGATAATGTTGGGAAAATATGACTGTTCGTTATTAACTCCCTGCTTTGTCAGATGTCTATTTTAAAGACATTTTGATTTTGCCATTACTATCGTTGGCTGTAGGAAAGTTAAGGTATAACTTAACAAGATTAATTTTACCTTCTTAAAGTAAATAGAAAAGTATGTTCCTTGAAAATTATTAAATAATATAGGTGTCTAAAATTTACATGACTGTTATGTGTTACAGGGGTATAATTGCATCTTGAATATTGATTTGGTGTTGTTCTTTTTTCAGCAGAGGATGAAGGACTCGGTACTCAGTGGTTGATGGTTATTCTGGGGGGAGTTGTCCTTAGTCTGATGTGTTAATTTGTTCTCTGTTTTTATTTTAGCGGAGGATGAAGGACTCAGTACTCAATGGTTGATGGTTATACTTGGCGGGGTTGTCCTTAGTCTGGTGTTTTTCCTTCTTTTAACCTTCCTCTGTTATAGGTATGTAATTTACATATAAATATTTTAGTCCGTCTAAATGTCACCAAGTCAGGTCACTAGATACAGTCATAACATAATGTAAATCCATGAACAGAAATTTCTGCAGATTTCCAGCATTGCTATTGTACCTAATTATGCATTTTAAGTATGTTTTGAAAAATTTCTGGTAGCATGGCATAAATAAATCCCCAAAAAATTATGTCTGTGGTAATTACTGTATACAGGGAAATTTTCACCCTTGACCATTTCATTTTCGTCTACTTTACCCTGTATACACAAGTGGGCAAATTTAAGATGGGGCAAATTCAAAAAAATGGTATGGCTTCTTAAACAGAACTGTGACAGGGAGAATTAAAAATGGGGTGAAATTGTTTGCAAGTGGGAAATGGCGAAAAATAAGCCTGTGTACAGTAAATACATCAATAGTTCACTCTCAGTATATCTCCATTTATTAAGGAGGAAGACCCCAGGACAGTAAATACATCAATATTTCACTATCAGTTTATCTTCATTCATTAATTAATTAATCAATTAATCCATTACTTAAGGAGGAAGACCCCAGTCAAACTGGTCGGAGGTAAAAAGGGCTTCTTTGGATTTAAAAAGAAGGGAGAGCACTCAGAAAACAAGACAAAGAACCTTAAATTTGGATCCATGCCTTCATACAAGTAAGACAGAGTAACTGTAGTTGGGTTCTTGCTTGCCTACAAGTAAATCATTCTAGATTTTTATATCCTAACCTGTGTATACTGAAATATGTGAGTCACTCAATTAATTGCTGAATTACATTACTAACATTTGCTGAATAATATTGTATTGCAGCATTGGATCTGATTTATTTCAAATATTTTGACAAAAAATTACCATTATATTCTTACTCTCCACTTTGGGGGTGAAAATATCTCTTTACTCTGAGTTAAGTTATAATGCTGAAAAGACGTCTTGAAAAACAATAAACGATTGTATAAATCTCTCTGGTGTTTTCCAGGTCTGAGGGATTCTTTGGTCGGAGGAAAAAGAAACCCTTGGCGAGTGAGGAGGAGAGTGATTTAGAGTTACCTCCCCCTCCTATTATTGTTTGTGACCCTGACAGTGCCCGGCCCGAGCGTGGCATCCTTAAGAATCTCGCAGTGCGTGTCAGTTCAGATGAGAGGAGGTCCAGCAGCTCCCAGACTGAGCGATCAGAGTCGACATGTGACCACGATGAAAGGGAAGCTTACGAAGAGGAAGAGGACGCGGAGGCGACAGAGGTCAGGGACATCCTGAGTCGTCTCCATGCCAACGACCCCTATGACCCCGAGAAGTCCATGGAGATGTTGGATCAGTTAGCGGAGGAGACATCAAGCTTCGATTTTATTCTCCCCAACCCGGGACTGGGAAGCACCAGATCCGAGTCCCCGCGGAAGAATCAGACGTACGACTTCCCAGTCAGTGGAGCCAAGAGGCCGACTTTGTGGAAGAACAGCCCCAAAGTCTCACCTCCCAAGTCAAAGATTGTGCGTATGAATTTCAGTGAACTGATGCAGGAGATAGACCGGCACCGTACAGTGGAGTTATCTCCCTCGCCAGACGAACTCACTGCTCAGGTGTCACCCACCACGTCAGAGGAGATCAGGAGTTCCTCTACAGATGACCGTGCGTACAACACAGGCCAGAGTCCACAATCGGTCACCAGTGGTAGTACCAGGGACACCTACCAGCCCTTCCCTCTCAGTCACTGGACCAAGCTTAGCTCCACTCCTCTCTATGATATCGACTCCTCCATGCCTAACATCCCACCCCCAATGTCTCCTCTACATCTACGCAGCATCAACTTCTCCAACATAGGAGTGCTGAATCGAGACTTTAATGACACTCCACTGGGCAGTCAGTTAGATGGCTGCTCGACTAATGGCACAGCTAACTCTCGTTGTGGATATGAGAAGAGTTCAGGATACGGAAGTGAACACGATCCCGCCGAGAGATTCAGTCTGGATGAGGCCTCGGGCCCTGGGTCTCGGGCCGCGTCAGCATCACCCCCAGCATACAGTGCTGTGCTACGAAGCGGACCACACCAAATAAAGTTACTTCCTGTCCGCAGACTTCATGAGGGCGGACTAGACGACCATCAAAGTCTGCAGCGTCTGTTACAAGAACTGCCGAGGATCGATGCAGGGGCTTATGAACGAAGTCCTTTAGTCAACCCTGTACAGGGAGTCAATAAAATAGAAGGAAAATGTATGAGGGAGGACGTGAACTTTACAAAGGAGGGAGCGCATGAGGACTGTCCCCTCCTCACTAACTCTGACGTCTCCTATGTAGGTCAAAGTGACATCAGTGGAGTAGGTAACATGGAGGAAAGCTTCCCTCTGGTTGGCTACTCTGAAGACCTAGAGGAAAAACTAGGTCACCTCATTCAGAAAGAGGCTCTGGGTGGAGACACAGCTTTACAGCATTGTGACAATCAGAATGACCTTGATTCTCACCAGAAGGTGAAATCAAATGACCTTCAAGGCCAGATCAGTGACCTTGACCTAGATAGTGCTCCCTGCATTGACTGCAGTCTCGAGTCAATTCCTCACACCATGAAACAGTGCAGAAAGGTCACAAGAGTAAAGGGCAGGAAAAGGCCAGATCCTGCAAAGAATGAACCAACAGAATCAGTTGCCATGACAACACAAATGTTACCTGTTTAGATTTCTTATGTTTAAGATTGACTGATTTTTGTGTTAAATTTTTGTATTATTTGGATCTCATTTTTAATTCATTTTACATGTAGTTGTTTTGTTTTTTATGTTGATCTGTGTTTTTACTTTTTATTAGATCTGATAGATTTCATCTGATAGATTATATTGCGTTGTTTTTTTGTTTTGTTTTTTGTCAGTAAGTGGACTTGTATTTGATAGATTATGTAAAAAAAATTAATATTTTAATGCCCGTGGTTGTGTGACCAAATTTACTGTCGAATAATTTTATTCTCATTAAAATTATATGATTTTTTAAGGTTGTAAAACCCCTGTGTTTTTACAAAAAATTTTATCTTTTGAGTATTTTAAGTTTGTGTGATGTAACAGATGTGTGCAATATTAATTATACTACATTATAACATCATCTTATATAATTATATACCGTAAATCTGGAAATTTTTACTGTAGATAAATTTTTAGCAAATTTGCGTGTACATTGCATTCGCAAAAATATTTTTCTTAAAAATAAATCTACATGTGAAGAATTTTTTTCTGAGAACTCGTGTCGTTTTTTAACTCGGTGAATAGGCAGCGGTAAGCACTGGTTATTTTTAAAAGAAACCTGTTTACATTAGTCTACTATATAACTACAAGTTAATTACCCGTGCGTGTAAATTGCCCTCATTATATGCAATATCGTCCTATGATTTGACAAGCACTGAGGCAGTATGACCGTTTTTAATTATTTTCGTCAATTAATTTGCCAATAAAGAGAGAACTGTCATTTTATCTAACGGTGTATCAACACCGGCGATAACTCAAACTCAGTGCATTTACTACATGTAGAGTTCCAAATGTAAACACGGCGTGTAAATTAAACCAAACGTTGGGAAAATTAGTTATACCGTTTTTTTCTTCATTTGGATTATACTTGAGGTTAAAAGGCATACACAACCTCTGAAATCTTTGTTGGAATTGATTAAGGAATTATTTTTCAGTGCAAATCCTTTTGTATTTTTATCAAAATTGTTTCGGAGCGATTTTGCAATATCTTGCCACAATGTGAGTATATTGGTGGTATTCTAAGTAGGCATATTATTTGAAACATAACCTAATATGAAAATCTTTAGTGATTTTTATTTTTAGCACCAGTGACAATTCGCAAAAATTTGAAGCGTAAAAATTAATCAACAGCTTTTTGACCCAAATTCGCAAAAATAAATCGACGTAAAAATTTCCAGATTTACGGTATCCATGTCATTGATTGTTTTAACTAAATAGATCAGCTAATTTATTTACTTATAGCCTACCTAAAACTATTTGTAAGGGATATAGTAATAAACTGTAATATTATATTTACATGTATCATACCTGATCATACAATCTATTCAGATATTTTTGTAAATATTTGCCTAGCTGAAAAAGAAAATATAATTTTTTTTAGAGATGATCTTGTTCTATTTACATTGGTGACGCAGTGTAGAAGGTTTGTAGCCTGTTTAACAGGTGCTTGTTATAAATGTAGGAATCAATGTCTTCTCTTTTTATTAAAGTGTACAGTCAGAAAATGTTGATATATCACAACTTTATTTTAATTGTAAATTATTAGCAATCATCAGTCAACAGAGAATCATCCACAGGTTATGTAACTCATTTGAGAGTAACTTATCATCATTTCTTCATCACTTCATTGTATGTTAACCATAGGTATTTACCTTAAGTTTGTACCTCTATTGATGTAATGTCTGTTCATGTTTCAGTTGTCTCTCATGTCTTCTATTTGATCACATTTCATTTCTACCTGACTATAACTGTATGTCATTTGTTAAGTTCTACATCTATTCATTGCAAGTCGTTTAGACTGACTTATGTATCATATTGTGTCCTATGTGCTATGTGCTTGTTGTTTATCACTTGTAAAATTTTAGCAAGATTTCTATTCAATATTCATAATTCAGCTTCATTCTGTTGTGATTTTCTAAATACAGATAATAATACATGTAGTTAATTGATATGGATATTGATACATATATTTGATTTTTAGCGAGATGTAATTAAGCAATTTTAAATGCACTTTAAATAAGTTATTACAAATAGAAATGCAATCAATCTTTAGCAAAATTCAATTTTAGCAATGTCAGCACCCTATTTCCAATGCATGCAGTAATGTCAAAATTAAATCCTTGTTCGAAATTCTGTTTTTACGTACATGTATATCAAAGTAAGTCAATGTTTCTTATCATATTTCATTTGTAAAATTTCAGAATCATTTGTCATTTACATGTACATACTGAATATCATCTGTAAAGGTCGTTGCTTGTCTCATTGTAAACTCTGTATCTTTATGTTATTGCTACACGTGTGTCATTTATTGTTGTTGTTATACTTGTGTTTTAGGCTGTAGGTTTAGGTTAGTCTCTGTGAAGTACAGATGTACTTATAGCTTGCACGTCCTCTTGTCTCTAAGTGATGTTTAAATTCACTTGTAATAGAATAATGTTAGTCTCCCTCTTTTCTATTCAGGTTTATTTCTACTATTCATCGATCAGAGGAACAATGCTGTTATCTTCCATTTTTTAGGGCCTTTGCTTAATATCATAATAATATGTCTCTTTGTGCATTATTGGTACAAAAACCTTCGCTAGAAAGGTCACAAAGTACATAGTTACTGAGTGTTTATGACTTTTCCATCATGCTTTGTGCGAGTTTTTATGTAAACTTTGGTGCTGAATTTGTGTTGCAAGATAACTGTATGCATCTAATCAGAAATAGCACAGTTTTAGTGTTTAATACATTAAGTAAGATATGACAATACATTGTTTTAGATAAAGTGAAATCATAAATTAATTGAGGGCTTTATTAGCTTTAATAGTGAACAGAATATTTAATTCATTCTTTGACATCAAAGTTGCTGTCCATACATAACTATAACAAGATATGGCCTTGAATACCATTTGTTGTAGTCTAATAAATTACTGTAAAATCACATATTTCCATGGGTTAAAATTTTTGAGGTTAAAGGAAAAAATATTGGTTCATGGGGACTTGATTTTTTGGTTGGAGAATGTTTAGTAATGCATAGGAAATTTCATTACGGTCTTAAATTTGTGTGTCTCGCAATGCTTCAAAAACAACAAAAATTACCCCCCCCCCCAAAAAAAAAAAAATTTAGTGATTTCACAGTATATTATCAAGCTGCATTTTTTGTGTCAGAGGTGATTTACCTTGTGTGTATGGGTGATAGAACTGTTAGAGCTACTGAGTTCCACCGGGTACCTACAGAGTTCCACTGAGTAGCTACTGAGTACCACAGCTTTTTGTACTTTATTACTGCGAATCACACTGTATACACTGATGCTGCAATCAATAAACTTGCCAAACATGATTGTGTTCTTGTTTGATTATTATTGTAATAGAATAATGGGGTCAGGGGTCACAGTGGACAACAATTTCACCATTTTTTTTCCCTCTAGAAAATTAAAAATACTTATCGTAAGTAGAAATTTTAGAGAGACGCAAATTTAGCGATTTGATCTTAAAAATTGGTATTTTATTTTCAGCAAGATGTAATTTTAGCGATTTCAAAATCCTCACTAAATAAGCTATTGCAAATTAAGGATATCCGATCCTCAGCCAGGAAGGATAACTCCAAAAATTCATATTTAATTTGAAATGCATCAAAATGAAGCTTGAAAATGGAATTTTTTCATGCAGCAATTTTCATTTTATTCAGTTTGATAAGATTCAAAGTCTTTGGAAGTCTTAGAAAAGGTCTTGTAAAAGTTGACATTTGTACCCTATAACAGGAGAAAAAATTAATACAGTTTTAGATAAATAAGGTTTTCTTGAATCCAGCCTTAGATACAAATGATTATTAGCATGATATGAAATATTGTGGATAAATTTACAGAACTTCATGGATTCAGAGATACTTTTATGATTAGTTATTAACTGCTAATTTTATATACCTGAGGATCAGACTACCTTAAGGTAGTCCGATCCTCAGGTATATAAAATTAGCAGTTAACTAATCAAAAATTAGCAGTTAACTAATCAAAAATACTCATAAAAGTATCTCTGAATCCATGAAGTTCTGTAAATGTATCCACAATATTTCTTTAAAGTTATAGGTTAAAATTAATCATATTATATAGGGAAAATTGTCAAATCTCCAATATTTTTGCAGAAAAGAAGAATTGGAATATCAGCAATGCATTTTCTAATTGCAAATTGATCAGCAAATATATTTTAGGTTAAAAAACGATAGGTATCCAGGCTTTCAGAGAAATTGTCATGATTTCCATACTTATTTGGCATTTTTTGTCTTCTATTTCCGTCATGTATTCTATAATACATAGTGTAAAAGGCTTTTGGTATCATTGCTAGACACCACAAAGCACTTCTCATTTCATATCATGCTAATAATCATTTGTATCTAAGGCTGGATTCAAGAAAACCTTATTTATCTAAAACTGTATTAATTTTTTCTCCTGTTATAGGGTACAAATGTCAACTTTTACAAGACCTTTTCTAAGACTTCCAAAGACTTTGAATCTTATCAAACTGAATAAAATGAAAATTGTTGCATGAAAAAATTCCATTTTCAAGCTTCATTTTGATGCATTTCAAATTAAATATGAATTTTTGGAGTTATCCTTCCTGGCTGTGACCTATATCCTAAAAATGAAATTAATTTTTAGTGATATTCATTTTTAGATATCTCAGCACCCTCTCTCATATGCCAAAATTAAATCCTCACTAAAAATTCTGCTTATACGGTAATGTACATGATTGTAGATAAATAGAATAAATCAGGTGTCCACTTTTAATTTCAGTAATTTTAACCTGCAGCATTAATACTTGATAATTATCATCTGCCAGTGTATAACTTAATGACTTTACTGTAAAATTTCATCTTTTTTCTCCACTTGTGATGCCAATATTTTAGTCCCATAGGCAATACTTTGAGCCAACTTTAACCAACACTTAATATTAAGAGAAATTCTTAAAACTTTTCCCAATATACTACTTTATGTAAAATTTCCACCCCCTCTTTGCCTCCCACATGGATGCTTTAATGGCATGAACATAATCTAAAATAAACCCAAAAGTTCCATATTTTTAGTGATTGTTACACCATTATAATAAAAATTCTGTAAAAAAAAAAAACATTTATTCAGTCTTGATGGTTTCTTTCTTATTTTGTTATTATAATCAAAATATATTACACATGGCGTAGCATATTACAGATTTATACACATAGTACATTACATAAAAGTAAAACCCCCTTTTAGCAGTTATTAATAGAAATGGGGTCAAAGTCATTGGAGATCCTGATTCTACAAATGACGGACATAACAAAGTCCATTAGGCCATATAAAATTGAAATCTTGGTTCTCAGGCCCGCGCGCATCCGTTTTGAGGTAGCCGCATTGCCGATTTTATTGCATTTTTGATAAAATAAAAAGTTGGTATTGCGGAGACCAATCCGGGAAAAACATTTCCGACCTCATTTGTTTCGTAGTTTAGTATTCAAATATCACTTCCGGTAGCCATTTACGATTTTGGCTACTTCGTTTGAAATACATTCAAGTACATTACCTACGATGTTTACACGCTGTTAAGCAATGGATAAAGCAGAAATTTTGACCAGAAATGGAAAGTATATCTGTGATTAAAAAAATTATCTTTATGTTATAAGAAAATTATTAAATTAAAATAAAAAAAATACCTCCCTCATCTACTTTATTGCCAATAAAATGAAAAATAAAATGCCGCCCTCCCGCATCTGTTTTGGAGGAAATTGGCCTGAGAACCAAGGAATTAATTTTTGATAGCCTTACCCAACTTGTCTTATATAATTATTCAGTGTACAGAATTTCATAACTGACATTTGTTAACAATGTAAATACATACTTGTACAAAGCATATTTTGGCCAGCTCGGCTATACAACAAAACATTTAATTTTATTTTGCTTGAGCTTTGTGGATATTATTAACTTAAAGTCTGAATGCCTAACAAAACAAATCGATCCTTGCCACACAAGCTAGTTATATAAAGTTTACAATTACAGTTTTATTTCATTCACACAACCCCAAACCTAAGAACAGACTAAAAAATCCCAGCTCCAAGGCCACATAAAACACACTCCTAGATTTTCTCCTGTCATCATGGTAAGATTTGTAATATAATCCTAACAAGGAAATTTTGATGTAACAAAAATTTTATTTCAAATACTTCAGAGGTTTTGTGAGGATGAAAATCTAATATTATTTCATGTGGCCTTACGCTGCTTATATATAGACACCTTATACACAGAATAATCTCCCCTGTAAGAACTCTTTAGTTTACGAAGTTCATTAAGAGTATATGTTGAATACATATATATATATATATATATATATAGCATGGTCTCACATACACACAATGCTGTCATATGCAGGTATTCAGAGACATTTTCTTTTTTCTCTCAAAATAAATCACATACAGACACACACACACACACACTTATGTTAAAAATACCTAGGTACTCTAAAATCATTGACACATGTACTGTGTTTTTTCAGTTGACTTTATGAGTAAAATTTTACAACATGGTACCATACCTGTATAACTTGTTATAAACATGTACCTATAACCATTTTGACCTTATTTAGTTTGTAAAAAAAAACAAACTTATTTTATACAGTTCATGTTATAATACATGTATGTCATATGACATGACGTTGTTTTTTTTTTTTTTTACATCTTTTAATTATATTATGCACCATCCTAAATATGAACCAAATTAACAAATTATTTTTGCTACTTAATTCACTGTACAATGTATCTGACACAGTTCAATTTACTGGCTGGTTCTCACTAAATTCATGCACACAATTTACCAGTACATCACACAATGCAGTACTGCATATATAAGTAACAATTCACCATTACATCGCGATGCAGTACTGGATATATAAGTAACAGAGCTGTAAATTCATTGTCTTCCTAAATCACAGGGAGAGATTTAACCATAAAACTTTAAATCTTAACAAGAGCTAAAAAAAAAAAAAACAATTTCCGCCTGCCCTTGTTAATTCTCAGCTCTGACGATAAAAGTGAAAGACTTTGTAAGATCTGGACACAACCACTCGTGTGTCATGTGACCGCTGACAGCCAATCAGATGACAGAACAGTATCCCTGACACGCCGAGGCTGTCTGTCCTCCTCCCTGGGATACGTCGATCCCTCGATTACTGGTCTCCCACAGTCCTGGGGTCTGAATTATCTACAACACAGGAAATAGCACTATTCACTCTTAACCAATTATTTATGTGCAAGAAATATTTTCACGACATACTTTGAATTGCACAGACTGATAGGCATATGTCTTCCAATATATGTATACAATTGACCCTGAAGTTAAGACCACATGAATCTGTAAATTTTCAACAATTCACCAAAGATATGATACTACAACAAATACATATAATACATTGCCCACTGTGTTTCTCTTTTAAATCCATTCCATCACTTGAATAAGAGAGACTCTTACTGACTTTTCATATGTTAAATGCTTATATAACTGTTTCTGTGATAAACTAAGCTCCACTTAATGACCATTGATTTAATATCCCTCAACAACAAGACTACTGTGGAATCATTTGATAATTAGTTGTGGTCAATGTTTCAGGGCAAGCAAAAATTTTTAAATTACTTCTTTGTTGGGACATAATTTACTGGCTTTTGGTAGATTTAAAAAATATGTTTACGAATTAAACGATCCTGGGGATGTAAACTTGTGGGTCGGGGTGACTGATTAAAATCCATGAATATTGATCCCACACAATGAGGATGTTGATTCCACAGTACTGGTCTTGACCTTTGACCTACAAAGCCTCTAGACCTTGTCCTACTGTTTTGACCTATTGGCCATCTTGACCTTTGACCTACTAACCTTTTCCACCAGTTCCTCAAATGCACACTGTACTCCCTCCCGTGTTTTAGCACTGGCTTCTATAAATAGCATGTGGTGTTTTCTGGCAAATTTCAGTCCGTCTTCCTTACTCACTTCACGATTCTCCTGTAAAAAAAAAATAATGGTTATAATTAAGCATTGAATTCATATTTTGGGATGTCTTCGGTGCTATAACACACCTGGCCGTGCCGACAAATTGAATACCGCGCGTTAGCGCGGTATGATAATTTGTCGGCACGGCCAGGTGTGTTATAGCACCGAAGACATCCCAAAATATGAATTCAATGCTTATATTTACATTCTCTAATTTTCCTTCTTCATAATTGCTTATTTCGTTAATCTTAAATGCGAATTTAGCGCCCTTCAAAACTGGTGTGCTTTATAGAAGTAAGAGCCGTTTGTGACGTCAAATGACGTTAAATGACGTTGCAAAGTTAAATAACGCACACAAACATTGCGAGGGGAAAAGTGACAAATTAATTCTTAACGCACATTACGTTAATTTTTACGTTAATTTTTCAGGGTTATAGTTTTTCATTAAATTGAAATAAAACAATTTACATTTTGGTGTTCCGAGAGTATTGAAAATGCATATAGTTCTTACTGCGTATTCTAACGCGCGGTGACAAGGTTTCGCGTGTGTTATAGAAATTTGAACGTCGTGAATTTCTAATGGATTTCATAAGGAAAATTACACTGAATGTAAATATATTACTTTAGTTCTTGAAGTAATCAATAAATAACTAATATTTATGGGGTAAGTTTCTTAAGAAAATGTGGTTTATGAAAAACTAGATCTACCTGCACTCTTTTGATCTGATCTCTATTGAGTCATTTTTCTATCAGGTCATGTTTACTTGAAGACCTATCATCTTAACTATTTATTCTGATCTTCAATCAGTTTGTGTTTAGTTTTAGACCTACCTGATCTATTTTGTTGCCCACTAACATCTTAATCAGGTCGTGTTTAGTTGAGAAGGTCTCCAGTTCATTTAACCAAACGTCCAGTTTTTGGAAAGAAGCTCGATTTGTTACGTCATACACTGTAAAGAGATCATGTATATACAAGTTAAATAAATAGTAAGTTAGATTTTACTTCTTCATATTGCATTGAGATAATCTTTTGAAAAAAAGAAAATCTATTAAAAATTAAAAAACAGTTAGCTCTCTGCTTGAGAAAATTCTGACAGATAAAGCAGAGAGCTGGAGATCCATGCATTGTAAAACCTTTGACTTACTCTGACGATTTTTTGTTGCTCACTTCAGGTATTATTTCTTGTATTTTATGATTTTTAATGCTCTTAAAATGGTATCCGAAATTTAATCATATATTTTGGACCAATTATTGATACTTTATTAACCTTTCAACGGTCCAAAACAGCCCTCTCTGGGTTTGGAAAGTCAGTTCAAATGATTCCAATTTTTAAGTCCACTTCCACAAACGGCCCTTCTTGAACCGTTGAAAGGTAAATAAACATTTAGGAATAGGAGTTAAATGTATCGTTAATTATCGGATATCATTTATAAAGCTGGGGAAATCATAAAATATAAGAAAAAAATAGTTAGTTACAAAAAAATCAGTGGCATAAATTGAAGGTCTGTTATAACATACCTAGAATGGCTCCCTGGGCTCCCCTGTAATAACTTGGTGTCAAAGTTCGGAATCTCTCTTGACCTGCTGTGTCCTACAGAAACATTAGATGAATTTTAAAAATGTCAAAAGAACACAGTTTTTTTTTCACAGCTGTCTAAAGATAACTTTCAATGGCTCTAAAACAGTAACCATGGTATCTGAAACTAATCTAAACAACAACCTGATTTAATAAGACTTGTGCTAAATTAATAATGGTGTTAATTACATTTAATGTTTTAATTTATTTAAGGAAAACAATTTATTCCGGAGATGATGATTTTTAAGGTATCCATCACTTTCTGCTTTTTCTTGATTATGGACAGAAAAATGACAAGTGACTGGAAAAACTCACATAAAACTTGAAACTATTAACATGATTTACTTACCCATATTGCAAGTTTGGCCTTATTTCCATCAACCTGCAAAGTTTTCACTTTGAAATCCACCCCTAAAACAAAATTTAAAGTATATTTAATTTGTATCCATCTTTGATATATTTAAAGTCAGTGGTGCAATGATACTTTGCACATATATCTTTTTCAAAGTGAATTTCACTCCTGAAGAAAAGAAATAATCATGCAGTCCAAAAATTTCAACCTAAAAAAATATCGATAATACATTTGGCTTACATTGCATTTCTCTTATTTGTTCAAAACAATTTTTAATCAATTCTAGAAACTGGTCTTACTTTGCCTAAACCCAAACCTTTCCAAGCTTGAGCACCCATTCTCCATTTTTGATTTGTTCAAATTTAAACTTTCTATAAATTTTAATTTACCACATAGGTTGTGTGTATTTATATCTACCTATTGTGGCAGCCTGTTCAGGATCAAAAGTATCATCTGTAAACCTCAGCAGTAAACTGAAAATAGAACGTTTCCAGGAACATATGATCAAGACCTCATGCCAATCATGCTAATAAGTGACAATGGAACAGAAATCAATTTGACAAACATCAGCAAGTGATCAAAATATCAACGGAGTGGGACAAAACTTTACAATCTATAAATTGATGCTTAAAGCTAAAACTGAAAATTCAAATTCCACGTGGACTTTGATTTAAGATTGCATTATGTAGATTGGATGGCAATCTGAATCTGACCATATATCATCAGATCATTGTTTCCACTTCACTATCATGACTATTGCTTATTGCGTGTTTAATTCACTTTAATGCCACTGAAGTTTCCAGTATACTTCGTTGTGGACTTTGTTCTTTGCTGCCAAGTGTGCCACTGTTGTGATGTTCCGCATCAGTGATCACAGCAAAAATGTAAACAATGCACAAACTGTTAGGCCTATAGACAAATTGGTCTTACCTGGATTTTCCCACACCACTCTCGCCGATGATAAGGATTTTCAGCGTGGTTAGAACTTCTGTCTCACTCATCTTTCTCCAGGTTCAACGTTTCCTTCAAATTTCTTGAGATAATCTATTTTTGTAATTCACGATCACCTTTCAATGGCGCAGTTATTGACAGCCTGTGTGCTCCACGTCATCAGTTATGAGACATTCGAGTTCCTAACCAGTGCAAAGTACGCGTGATTTGATTGGCTGACGGAAAAGAAGGAAGACTGAGCGGTTGTTTTGATTCTAAAGAGATACTCTAATATACGATGGAAACAGTTAATCAAGGTAACAAGTGGTTGTATACTCGAAAAAGTTAATACTCAAACTGCTGATTCTTCTAATTTAGTATTTCCGAACAGAAACCTTAACTCATGTAAATATTACGGCTCTGTGTTTATGATTTAAAAAAAAATAAAACTTTATGATGGTGCATATAATTGTTGTAAATTCAGTATGAACTTTACTGACAGAAACTGAGAATAGAAATGTTCAGAATACTACAGGGGCATCTCAGAGTACAGAATGGGATAAGATGCATCTGTGTAGAATATTAATCCGAGATGTCTCTGACTCTAACCCCTGCTTTTATATTACACTTGTGCAGGGGACTCCCCTTCTACCCTGCACAGGTCACAAAACATTAAAGCAGGGGTTAGAGTCATAGGAATCTTGGACTAGTATAATACATATACCAGTATCTATAACAGGAAAGGAGAAAATGATACGGACCCGAGCCCCCTGAATCTTTAGTCAGGTTCTCTACCAACTGAACTGTCTAGGGCGGCGTAATCATGTGTGTTAAAACCCATCTGACCTCCCAATTCCTCCCTCCTTCAACTATCAGAACGTGCGGGACAAGTTTGATCACCGATGGCCTGAGATAGATGATAGATCTGTAGGAAGAGAACTGGACTGGGGATTTAGGGGGCCCTGGTTCAAATCCTGGTCTAGTCTACTGTATTTTCTTCACTCCTGTTTCAGTTATGGTTATTTTCACATTTGTTTTGAATTTAAAAATCATTTATCATGTTTATATATCAGTCAGATGTAAAACTGTACAATTGCCTGTAAACTGTTTAAGCCTAGATATGTCCAATCCTTTATAGAGTACAACAGTCAGGGGTGTGACTTAAATCCATCATTTTTAAAAATGATGGATAATGGTCATTTCTTCTAAGTATATAATGTACACGATCTTCTGATTTTTGTAAATATAAGGTCTTTTCATCATATTTCCATTCCCAAGTCAATTTTTCCAACCCATTTACTACAGTAATTAGATATAGTACACTATCCTGCCATAGACCCTTGTGTAGAGAAACATCTTGACAAGTAATTGAAACCAAAATAATTTAGTGCGCCCCGTAAAATTAACGAGATAATTAAGTGCGCCAGGACTTAACAATTTGATTAAATATGATGAAATACAGTCATTTTTAATATCAGAGGTAAATCTATTTCTAAAATAAATTTCAAAATAGAAATGACTGTTTTTCATCATTTTTCTGAAAAAAGATGAATTTCCATCATTATTAAAAATCAATTTACCTGGTAATGACTAGAAATCATCATTTTTAAAAATAATGGATTTCAGTCACACCCCTGACTGTACAATGCTCATTATTTTTATTGATTCATTATAAATCAGATGAATATCATTACCTTTGAAGCCAATATACATGATATATTGATGAACATGATAAATGTTCACTACTTTATAGAACTGTCCGGTCCGAGTTTACAGGAATTTCTACAAGGAGAATTGACCACGCTATGTAGGAATCTGGACGATACTTACAACGTCCTCTCTCAGAAATGGATCAGCGCCGAACTGACCAGTCACCTAGACAAACTACAGCAAGGACAACAGGATAAAGTCCAGCATTACCACGGTACATACAAGTACTAACATTACCACGGTACATACAAGTACTAACATTACCACGATACCTACATGTACTAAAATTACCACGGTACATACAAGTACTTACATTACCACGGTAAGTATAAGTACTTACATTACCAAGGTACATACAAGTACTAACATTACCACGGTACGTATAAGTACTTACATTACCACGATACATACAAGTACTAACATTACCACGGTACATAGAAGTACTAACATTCCCACGGTACCTACAAGTACTAAAATTACCACAGTACGTACAAGTACACTAACATTACCACGATACATACAAGTACTGACATTACAATGGTACGAACAACTCACAGATGCTGCATAATAATTATTTATTTAATAGGTCAATATTTAAGGTCAATGATCTGAAAATAAGAGGCCCACGGGCTTTATAGGTCACCTGAACATCATGCAACAACTTTGAAATGATTGAATTTGGTTCATTTTTAAGCTAGATGCTATGGCATTTACAATTTTGAAAGAGCACCATTGCTAATCATAAGTATACACTTAGCAATTACTTTGCGGTTTAAAAAGCATAAACTGACCCAGGTTATGTTATATCGTATGACAAAAGTTGAAATTAGCATCATTCCTTAAATAACATACAGTGTAAGTTTGTATATTAAATCAGTCAAGTTCATGTAAGGCCAAAGTTATTTTATCTTTAGGTTTACGGATTTTTTCAACCGAAATGTACAATGGGTGGCGACAAAATAAAAATAAAAATAATTTGATACTTTTTTTCAAACGGAACATCGCTGAATCAGTTAAAAAAAAAAAACACCACCACCCTTCTTTTGAATTGGTAAAAATAAGAAACATTTCCTGAAATTTGGAAAAATTATTTGTAGTAAATGAGAGTCAAATAAAAGGAACTACAAATGATTATACTGAAGGTTTACTTCTGAATCAGATCTTATTTGAAATCATTAAAAAATCTCTATTGAAGTATTTAAGATATATTGGAATATTGGGATCATGACTTATATTCATTTATTTTCTTTATTATACCCCCCGCAAACGAAGTTTAGGGGGGGTATATTGGAATCACCATGTCCGTCTGTCCGTCCGTCTGTCTGTCCGTCTGTCCGTCTGTCTGTAGACGAGATTTTGTCCGGACCATTATTCAGAAACTATTGGAAGGATTTGTCTGAAAATTTGTACACATATTATTCACCATATGAAGTTGTGCACCTGATATTTTTCATCTTGATTGGATTATTATTTTGAATTTTACAGGTGTTTTTTCATTTTTATTTTGTGGTTTTGTTTGGACCGTTTCTCAGAAACTATTGCAAGGATTAATCTGAAAATTTGTACAATTATTATTCACCATATGAAGTTGTGCACCTGGAATTTTCAACTCTTTTTGTTCATTTTTCTACATTTTACAGGTTTTTAAAAATTTTAATTGACTTGTTCATTTTGGGCTCATGTATAAGGTTTGAGACATAGAATCTAGAATATCTGTACAAAAATGTGAACTACAGCTTAAAACTACTTATAAAAACTTTAAAAAAAAGAAACATCAAGTGTTAAAAACAGTTTTTACATTGCACAGAAGATAATGTAATTTCATTTGTCTCTTGGGAATAATGACTGGACATGCATCCAGTTAAAGATAAATTAATGAGTTTGGTGTTGGAAGTTGTTTAGCCATATCTCTTATCAAGTGTGTGTGTGTTATCAAATCTTCAGGGAATAAGGCACAAGAATTAAAGATCTCTCTTCTCTTATTCTCTTAATTGTAATTTATTGTCTGTCAAAACACTTCATTACTGGATGACCAGTTCTTTATTTTCAAAATGCATTTCAAATTAATATATCAAGATTAATTTGATTTTGTATAATGCTTTTTTTTTTCAACAATCAGTTTGCAGAGTGACATAACACATATTGCAATATATTTTTTTAGTGCAGTAATAAAGAAAAATTAAATGAAAAAAATAAAAAAAAATGTTACAATGGAATTACAGTGTATTAGTATTAATGTTTCATTTGGTTGCACCTACGTTTCATTCATTAAGAAACATGATGAGCAATTATATTTCATTGCAAATTTTTTAAAGTAAATTGTGAACATCTCTAGATCCATAAAGTATTTTTGAATTGGCACCTTCTCTGAAAAACCCAGCGGGGGGTATTAGTCCCTATTGGACAGTTCTAGTTTATTTTCTTTTTTTTTTTACAAAAAAAAGCCAACTAATTTACTTTGATTTAGATTCATAATCTTGTATATTATATTAGTTATCAAGACGAAGTCACCGATTATCTTTACTTCTAAGTTCTTTTAGTGAAACCCTGCAATGTTGCCTATTTCCTTTTATTAACATGACCTTATATCTACCAATGGCGGTCAGAGTAAAATGTCAACAACAAGGCCTGTATCTGGGACCTATAACCATGATAAAGATTTATTTTTCTGGTTATATCGATAATTTCATTGTTTCATACACTTATCACAAAAAATTTAGCATGTGTCTGGGTTTGGGGAATAAAATTCAAGTTTAAAAAAACGTACATAGTCTTGAAATTGTTTGCAATTTCGATAATTTTTGTCCATTGTCAACATACATGTATTAATTCCTAACTTTTGAAATGGAAGAAAAATATTACCAATGAGAATAAATAGCAAAGTTACGTCATTGATGATTGAAACAGCTGATATATTTGGTGGTTATTTTTATTTATAAAAAATCACTGAAGATAACGTTTTAACAGGACTCTTTGGGGAAAAGAAATATTGCGTCTCCCATAGTTTGCTCTTCTTTCGTTTTCTGTCAAAAGTTTCTGGACATCGTGCTATTTCCAAGATATTTTATAAAGACATGCTTGCCGCCATATTTACATGCTTCTGTTTATAGTCACTGAAACGTTTTGAAAGAATGAGACGTTTTATTACATGTTTGGGACTCAGACGCATTATAAATTTTAAACCCTAAATTTTCCAGAAAATTATCGAAAGAGGTAATAAAATCCATTATTTTTATTTTCTAGAACCTGAAAAAATCAGGTCGGCGGATCCGTAAACCGAAAGATATAATAACTGTGGCCTAACCTTTGAATATGATGAATTATTTGTTAGAAATCTTGTTTCTATAATTACAGAGGAGATAGATAGCCATGAGAAAAATATCAAGAAAATCCAGGGACTGGCTAGTAACAACCAGAAAGGTAGGTAACCATGGTAAAAGGTAAACACAGTAACAGTCCAGTCCAATACGAAAAATCGTAATGTTACGTAATATAGTAATATCACAAGAAATCGTAATATTACAAAATATCGTAATATTATTCTTATATTACTATTTTTCGTAATATAGTTAAATTACGGAAACTCGTAATATAGCAAGTTGAGAGAGACTATATTACAAGTTTTCGTAATGCAAGACAAAATAAAGCATTGAAAGAAACTGAATGATGTTTATGGAAGTATGATGTCAGAAATACATTATGCCCCAATGGTACTAGTATCACGTGGTCATTTTGGTCAGTGATGTCTATCGAAAAGTATGGAAATGCAAGAAGAAAGTAACAATGGTAATGGGTGAGTGAACATTTTGTTTTATTATTCTTATATAAGAATTTTCTCAAGGATAGGAACAATTTTCCATAAAATTTCAATGTATCCTCAAGCTTGTCACAATGGTCTTTAATCCCCGAATTCCCTATTTTTTTTCCCGAAGTCTACCCTGAAAATCAGACCCTCATCTCAAACAACGAAATGTTACGAGAGATAACTTGTAAGACTCTCACTAGGCTCTGTATCCGCTTGCACTTGGATCAAATGCACCAAAACAAAGAAGATCCACTAACCATACATATCCACGATATCATCAGACCTGGGGTAATGGTAATGTGTAATGGTAATGCATTGTAATCATTACATTTTTTCAAAGTAATGGGATGTAATGTGTAATGCATCTATTTTTCAATTACAAGTAATTGAATGTAATGCATTACTTCCATAAAAATACCAGTAAGGCCATAATAAAAATATTCCTAGATTCTCATCCCCGCCTGCCTCGATTTTTATACCCCCGCCTCGATTTTTTTTATTTCTGTTTTTCTTCGTCTTAATTCTGATCGGGATCGGTATTCATCTACCATTCTACTTTCGTTTAAAATCCCGCGAAAGTTGACATCATTTTGACAGCTGAAAAGATGGTGATTGCTGTAATACATGCGTATATATATTAAACAAGGGTCATTGGTTGAAAAAGATTGGTGTTGATGTGAAGTAAGAGATAATTGAACCCTCACTATGACTTTTATTCGGGTATCGTCGGAGGCCCTAAATTCGTTATGGTCCTAGAGTCGTGTCCCTTTTGTTTTTCTCTCGTATCTCGCGAGATTTGGTCCGCGACTGCGCACACCGTGAGAAACAGTTTACTACGATTGATTACGTCATATTTACAACTACAGACGACAATGAGGTCAAAACAGGTAAAAAAAAATAGTATGAATTTTTTTTAGTTGATTAACAGTCAAATCCATTATTACCAAATAAGTATGACGATAAAGTCCAATTTATTTTTTATTACGACCTATATTGAGTACATCAGTGCTATTTTACGCTTTGTTTACATTATATCAAGACTTGAAGAGAAGTCACATGACTACATTGGAATTCGATAGGCCAAACAAAGTTAATTTTTCTAGTCATGTTGTATCGTTCCTTAGACATTTTTTTTTACAATGGATTTGTTTGTTTGCTATTGTAGAAAAGTCCCCAGCCTCACAAAAGAAACTATAGACTTTATTCTCCATCACAAATGACAAATGCATATAAAATGGTTAAAGAACAAAAAATGTCAGTAAGGAAAGCTTCAAAAATTTTTCGGGTGCCTGATACAACTTTAAGGGACAGGGTTCTGCTAAAATTTGACCCAGAAACTGCAGTTTTTGGTAAAACTCCAGTTCTAGACAATCTTGAAGAGGCCAATCTAGTCAATCATTTTAAAACAATGGCAGCTTTTGGTTATGGGTATACTAGACAGGAATGCATAAATATTGCAACAGATTACGCAATTTTTGTGGGTAAGAGAACTCCTGACAAGCCCTTTTCTATGAAATGGATGAGAGGTTTTTTAAAGCGATGGCCTGAATTAAAAGTTTTGAAGCCACGAGGGTTAGAGCATGTTAGAGCGAAAATGGCTTCCAGTGAAACTGTGTCCAACTACTTTGAAAATCTTCGTAACACTCTCTCCAAACATGATCTTTATGGAAAGCCTCATCTCATCTTTAATGTCGATGAAAAGGGTATTTCTGTTGACCACAAACCACCAGCCGTGGTTGGAGATTCAGCTTACTGTCCGCAGTCAGTAACATCGGGGCGTGGAAAGACTATCACCATTCTTGGAGGAGGCAGTGCAAGCGGTGTCTCTGTACCACCTTTTTTTGTCTTCCCCGGCAAACGGATGATGCCAGAACTCTTGAGTGGAGCATCCCCTGGGGCTAGTGGCACGGTGAGCGAAACTGGGTGGTCAAATGGACAAATATTTCGACAGTATCTGGAACACCACTTCCTCAAGTTTGTTCCACGAGATGAAGGACAGATATTGCTCCTCTTAGATGGACACAAATCCCATGTGTCTGTGGATCTTGTAGAGTGGGCAAGTCAAAAGGGGATAATTATCTTTATACTTCCAGCCCATACAAGCCATGTCTTACAGCCAATGGACTTTGCCTGCTACGGCCCATTTCAAAACATTTACAATTGTTTGTGTCACAAGTTGATAAGGGAGACAGCAGCAACAATTACCAGGTATAACATTTGTGAAGTTGCGTGCAAGGCGTACACGAAGGCGCTGTCTCCTGAAAACGTCCAGTCAGGATTTCGACGTACCGGGATTTTCCCCCTTTGTAAAGACGCAGTACCTTCGAGGTATTTGGTACCAGCAGAAGTCTTCAAGGGCCGGGCCGCTGAACAAGAGAATGAGAGAGGATCGGGAGAAAATGAAGATCAGCAAAATTATGTGGTAAAGTTACAAGAGAAGGAGAATCATCTGAAGACAAAGAAGAGTGGAGCAGAAATTAAAGAGAGGAAAACTATGAGCAAGATCGTGTCCGGCAGGGAAATTTCAGAAAACGTGTGTCAGCGAATGAAAGACCATGAAAAAAGTCAGAAGAAAAAAGAGGAAGACATTGGGGGTAAGAAGCGCCAAAAGACAAGTTGTAGAAAATAAATCTGACCATATCCGAGGATCTCCAAAATACTTCAGACACTGACAGTGATGTTGAAATGGATCCCTCTAAACTGTGCTGTGTTTGCAAGAAGTTTCAGCCTGATAAGTTGAAAAGATGTGTATCTCTTGTATTTGTGAAGTGGGCGCAATGTGACAAGTGCAGCCATTGGGTTCACCTGATCTATTGTTCACCAATATGTGTTGTTAGAAGAAATGATCCATTCTATTGTCCACACTGTAATACCGAGTAACACAATACTGCTAGCTGCTGCTGCATAAAATTGTATTGAATTAGTGTTAAATTCAGCTTAGTAATATAAGTTTTTATAATTGTTTAACTTAAAAATTCATTCTTTGTAAAGATTGTATTAATTTGTATTTAAAAAATGTTGACACACAGTTAAACGTTGAGTTGAAAAATGAAAAACGTATATATTCATTCTCTTGGCCTTTTTACTTCTATTTCCGCTGACGTCACGACCCTAGGACCTGCTTTTCAAAATGTCGCCGAGTAAACATCGGTAATTGAAATGAGTTGAAAACAATCAAAATGGCATGATTTTTTTTATTTGAACAATTTACTGCAAAGAAAAGAACATGTTTAATTTAGGTATGACTTTCGAAATTAAACAGCACTTCAAATTTATTTAGAAACAGTCACGATCAAGTTAGGGTAACGACTCATGGACCTCCGAGGATATTGTAGATAAAATTACACCGATTGACCAGGTCAATAAAAAATCTGCAAAATTGAAAAAATAAAAAATATAAAATTAAAGCCGCCCGCCCGCCTCGATTTTTAAAAAAGTTAGGATGAGAATCTAGCAATTTATTTATTATGGCCTAATGACCATTACTTTTCAATTACATTTGAATTACATTTAGCTTATTTTTCTTATTTTGTCAAATAGTCTGATATCTTTTACAAAGCATTTTTTAAAAATTAAAAATTCACCCTTGAAATTAATAAACTTTCAGGAATTATTTCTTGTGTTTATTTATTTGTCTCTATAAAATTTAAGTGATGGGAAATTCTACTGTAAATAAATTGTGATCAAAAATTGTCTTTGTATTTTTTGTAATGTGTAATGTAATTAATTACTTGAGCAAAGTAATTGTAATCTAATTAATTACTTTTGAAAATGGGAGTAATGGTAATGGGAAGAATTCCAATGTAATTGTAATTTAATGCATTTCATTTCAAAGTAATTGACCCCAGGTCTGGATATCATAATGTTGAAACCAGAGACCAATAATCTCTGATGAAACATAACAAAGAGGTTGTATCAGAAAAAAGGGAAGTAACTCTTAGAAGAGTTAGAAATTGCTTATATTACGAATTTTAGTAATATTACGATTTTTCGTATTGGACTGGACTGAGTAACAGGGGATCTCTAACGACACCAAACTATAAATCTTAATAACCATGATAACAGGTAGCTGCAGATCTGTAGCTCTCCGAAAAAAAAATATTGATAGACCGAAGAGCTACAGTGCCACCTATTGAAAAAACTGTATATTTATTGCGCACAAAAAAGTGCGCTCTGTTGTTGATTAATTCTTCCAAATTCTTACCTCAATTGCAAAAAATGGAAGATTTTAAAAAATTCCTCTCTCCTCTATCAGGTACTCTCGTAGTTGACATCTGAACGAAGCATATTGGACTGAATTATCCTTGAAACTAAAATGGCAGTATATATAACCGAAATGTTCGATGATTACAATATCAGGGCCAGGAGGACTATAAGTATTATTTAGAGAACAAGACAGGTTCTGTATTGAAGATACAAATTTGGGGGCAGACGAGTGCGAAAGCACGAGTCTCCCCCCCCCCCCCCCCCCCCCCCAAATTTGTATCTACGATACAGAACCTGTCGAGTTCTCTAAATGATTTGTGACACGATCAATCAAAAATAGCTCCCCCCACTTTATAACTTTGCAGCATCCACTGTAGATGATGCCCCGACGGGGAGTACGCATTTTTTCAATGGGTGGCACTGTAGCTCTCCGGTCTATCAATATTTTTTTTTTCGGAGAGCTACAGATCTGCAGCTAGATAACAGGCTAAAATATTTTCATTTATTAATCCCTTTTCCAGTAGTCACGTATTTATTAACTCGTTTAGTGAATTTATGGATATAAAGAAGTCATTCTGGATCCCCAGCTATACAAATTTAATGAATTTCTTATACGATTATCACGAATATAGTAAAGTAATTAAATAGGTCCCAGTGACTTTGCTATAACCGGGTTTTATTGTATACCATTTGCTGTTTCTAACGCAGTATAATGCATATATATACCATTTCCCTGCAATCACATTACCCTGCCAATATTACATAAATTAAGAAAGAGTTATAATCTTATTAAATTGTTATATCATAATGATTTACACTAAACTTTAGAGTGACTTGTACCTCGCTGTAAAGTGCTTGCGAGGAATAGGTAACGCTATATATCTATGACATCACATGAACCAGTAAGTAAAATGTAAAGAGTCAAACTGAACTTTGGAGTGACCTTCAACCTTCATTTTGATTGGTAGTTTCAGCCTTAATGACCTTAATCCTGCTTAATGATTGGCTGTTTCAAGCTTAGTGACCTTCATCCTTCTTTTTGATTGGTTATTTCAGCCTTAGAGGACCAGATTCAGAAGTTGAGTGCACTCAAACAGGAACTGAGGATACTCACGACTCAGACTCAGTCAGCCCTCCAGCAGCAAGAGAAACTCAGCTCAGAAATATCCAACTCACAGCAAGACATTGCAGCCCGAACAGAAGGTAGGGTCTATATACAAGGTTTGAGGAAAAAATATCATTCAGTTTATGGGGATTTGATTTCATGGTTGGAGTATGTTTAGGAGTAATGCATTTATAATTTTACAATTTGTGGTGGTCATAAATTGGTGGGTCTCTCCATTCCTAAAAAAAAAAAAAAAAAGAAATTTACCCCCTTTGAAAATTAGTGATTTTGCAGTATGTTATTTGGAATACCAGAATTTGACATGTTTGAAATCCAGCATTTGTCAAAAATTATAAAACCTCTGTTGTCTTTAATTCTGTACATAATCTGCATCCTTTCTACCTCACAGCTCTGAAGGGATCTAAGCAAGACCTTGCTTGTATTTAACTCTGTAGGAATAAAACCTTGGTTGTCTTTAACTCTGTAGGGATCTAACCTTGGTTGTCTGTAATTCTATGGTTGTCTTTAACTCTGTAGGGATATAACCTTGGTTGTCTTTTAACTCTTTAGGGATATAACCATGGTTGTCTTTAACTCTTAGTCTGTAGAGATATAACCTTGCTTGTCTTTTAACTCTGTAGCTCTGAAGGGGAGTTCTGAGGACACAGAAAAAACCCAGAGAGACTTGGAGCTGGCCTCAAAATTCTTTCAGGACAGACTCAGTCTCCGTTTCCAGAAGATCTCAGGTAAGTCTAGACTTAAACTAATGAGCTTCATGTTGTCCTTAGCTAGATGTAGGCTAAAATGGGCCAACATACTGTACAGATGAAAAGGGGAACAATATTATGAAAGGGAGAACAGTTTACAGTAATATGACCTGATTATGTCAGTAGAGATCTCAGCTATTTCTTACTTTTATCTTAGCCTCATTTTGTAATGTCTGATTTAATTTGAAGTGGCATGCAAAATCTTGTAAATATATAAGGATTATAATTGGTAATTATTTTAAAAAATATATTTACTATACATGTAAAAAAATGAATTTGGAATGCATATGACATGAAAATTTGGGAAATATCAACTGATTAATGCCTGCAGTGATTGTTATAAGTGCCTAACTACAGTATTTTGAGTTCTTTAGTTTATATTGTAGGTGGTGACTCCAGTATTTTGATTGCTTTAGTTTATATTGTAGGTGGACGACTCCAGTATTGTTTCTCTTCAGTGGACAGAGAAAATCCTGACAACTCGTGTTGTTTCTGTCTGAAGGTTAACAGTGACAGGAGCTACACAGGTATGTATAGTTATAACATATCGCACAGGTAAAGCATATATGTATAGTTATAACATATCGCACAGGTAAAGCATATATGTATAGTTATAAAGTATTGCACAATTATAGCATATATGTATACTTTTGAAGTATCGCACAGGTTTGTAAAGTATCGCACAGGTATTGCATACGTATAGTTATAAAGTATCGCACAGGTACAGCAAAATGTATACAGTGCATATCATTGATTGAGTTTGCACGATTCAAGTTCCTCTAAATCAGGACTTTTTCCTTCTGTTTTGCTTCAGGAAATAGTCCTGGTCTTGGGGAACTGGAATCTTGCTGACTACCTCAATGATATATCATACATGTTAACTCTCCAGATTTAGGCGGGAGTCTACCGCTTTTTCACTCCATCTCCCGCCTACCAATTTAATTCAGAAATCTACCGCTTTTCTAGAAAAGCTAACACACTAAAGTATTTTTGGTTCGCTTGGGTAACACATTTTTGAAGCCACTCTCATAAAATCTCGCTAGATACACGCGTGATTTGACTCGGAATCATACAAACGCTTTCTTTGTACATAGATTTCAAGCACGGATTTGACAACGACAACAACATAAGACTACCAGTGATTACATTGGTTACGATAAATTAATCAACATCCCTGCCATGAAAAAGGAGATACAGCTTTTAAGAATTAGATGAAAACATTTGACATCGTCTTTAAAAGCACGGAAGTTCACAACTTTATCAATAAAGTCAATAGAAATCACTCGATTGACCAAGCCATGTGGCACATCTCTACTTTCGTTTTCGATCATTGCGGGAAATCTGATTTATATCACGAAAGATACGACTTGTTTTAGATCTAGATTAAACCAAGTTATCATTTGTTTTGTTTAAAAACTGAATGAACATTCAGAATTATTGCTTCTAGGCTATTTCAGCAAAGATCACTCTTCAAAAGGCTAAGTAAAGCATCCAATCCAAGCAAAATGAAGAGCATGAAAAATATTTATATATGTACTATTTATGTCAAACTTAAGGTGTTTCTGTCTTCTTCTTTGCTGTTGATATTTAAGATTAATTAGTGTAGGTACCTGATTTCATTTAAGGCTTATAATATACATGTATATTACATGAAAGATATCGATAATCCAAGCGTTAAACAACACGAGCGCAATGCTATCACTTTTGTGGTCTGAATCTCCCTCTTTTTCATCACAATAGGTTAACATGTATGGATATATACTGTAAATGTATTACATTTGGCGTGTACGATTTTTGGCAGAAATTCAATTTTCAACAAGTTAGCGTAGATTTGATTTAGCGCTGTCTGAAGTTGCTAGTTATAAAAGTTAATGTACAAGACATTTAGCGATGTACAATGTACTTGAATTAGCGGACTATGCTTTCCGCGAAAATCGCTAAAAAGAATACACTGCTAAAGGAATAGGTTTACAATACTTTAATTGTATGTTGTTTTCTTTCAGTGTCTGACTTTTCCCCAGAAGTAGAGGGTTTCCAGGAATTGGAGCAGAAACTGAATGCAACAAACGACCTTCGATCTTTTATGGTGGCCATCCGGAAAAAATTTGTCAAGACTGTTAACTCTGCTAAATAAATGATAAAAGTTGTAGTATTGTTTCTGTTGTGTTGGTTCTATATTCTGATGTGACAGATGTGTACAGGCATCAGTCTGGATTACAAGATTTGGCGAACCTATCAATTTTACTGAAATTTTCATTATATTAAAAGTCGTACAATGTAATACATTTAATTATTATAGGTATTTCAAATTTTTTAAATTACTGAAAATTTCAGTAAAATCATCATTCCATGGGTTATTGGGATTTCTGTTTGTTAAAATGAAGATGGCACTTCTATTTTAGTGTCATGGGAATTGGTTAGAGTGACCTGGTAGCTCAATCTTATTAAAATTAGATGTTCCGAATATGCCGCTTCTCAAACAGCTAACAACATACCTTCCAGGATCAGTTCAGAGCAACCTTTCAATTAGCCAATGAAATTGTTACCTCCAAAATCTTGGCTTATAGTGTGGAAGGGTTTCTTTTCACTGCCAAACGGAAACACCCGAGGAGTTTCGTAGTAAACATTGCAAACTCTGGGCTATGAATTAATGTGATGTCTGAGATATCTTGTATAGTTTGTGCTTGTTCATTTGCTTTATTTATGTAAGGATGCCAAACTGGCGGACTATACATTAAATTTAATTATTCCAAAATTACTTTAATTCAATGTAAGACAGTATCAATATGATGATATATATGTAGCCGTGGAACTAATTTTAAAATTGTTTTTCAAAGCTAAAATTTGCATGGCCAAAATTTTTGTTTATTGATAAATCAAAAGGTCACTCTGACCTGAACCCGAATGGGATGTCGCTATATGCTGAGAAGCAGTAGCAGATTCGGAACGTCTAATTTTAATTAGATTCCTGGTAGCTCGGTCTTACAGTGCAAGGTTCCAGATTCAGTCTGACTGACTCATTTCCTGAACCATTCCTGTAGAATCACATATTTTCATTGGGTCAATACATTTTCATGACTTGTGGGGGATAATGGATGATGGGTCATATAATTTTGTTTGCTGTAAAAGTTAAAATTTTACATTTCATAGTAGACAGGAGTGTAGGTTCTCTTCATACCATGAAAACAACCAAAATTAACCCCTGACAATGAGTAATTTATCCCCTGACAATGAGTAATTTATCCCCTGACAATGAGTAATTTCACAGAATGTTATAAATTACTTCAGTGTAAAAGAATCCTGTCCTGAGATTTGTTACATTGAACTTGAAGTATAAATATATATGGACACAATACAACAACAACATTTATTTGAAAGTTTAAATTTGTATTTCTTGTTTGATATTCTCTGATAAATATTTAACAGCTACCAGAGGGATTACTGCATATTCATGAAGAATCACTGCATATAATTAAAACAAAGCTGAGACTGTTTAATTGGTGCATGTAAGATACAAAATGTTGCTCTGCTACAAGATGATAAACTACACAAAGCAAATTATCAATGACTGCACATTAACATATTATGAATATTCAAATTTTAAGATCCATCTAAAGGACATTGATTCTTCTCCTCTTCCTGAGATCTAGCAATATTTAAATATTCATGATATGCAAATTATTTTTGCATTAAGTAAATGAACCAAGTATTAACAAAAAGACATCATTTACTGACTTTCAAAAGTAAACTCTTGTTCAACATGGATACCTAACAAACATCACGAGGGTCACTCATTCTACAGGATGTATCTTGTTATAAAGTTAGTTATATAGTAAAATGTACAACAGATTTATAATGGTTGTGTCCATATCTTATATCACTGGCTCAGCATTCTTACACACGACTCCAGCAGAATCTAATATTTGGTTATGTACACTGGAGAAAGTTTGACAAAGAGCACAAAAAATCCTTTAGTCACATGAAGTACGGGAGATTCCTTTAATTTGGTAATATTAGAACATCCCCTGATTCTTTTATTAAATAATTATAATATTGGTAGCTTTGTAATATACCCTCAGAAACTTAAAACATAACAAAAACATATACACCAGATGTTCACACAATCTCCCCCCCCACTCCTCTAAAAAAATCAATAATCAATAATAATAGTTAATTAACAAATAAAGAGTTAATTATTTAATTAGATCCTATCCTTTGCTGGCTTGGATGGCTAGTTTTTTCAGGGTTGGGGTGTCAAATGACTTTGGTCTCTCGATGGGGAGTCCCAGGGCGCGGTCCCAGATCAACGAGGCCATACAGCCGAGAGCTCGCGAAACGCCAAACAAAACCGTGTAATAATTCATCTCTGTCATTTTGTAGTGCTGTAAAGAAAAACAAAACCGTGTAATAGTGGGCGTCGGCATTTGCAATGGTCACTTTTATAGATAGGACGTCAACATTTGGTCACTTTTGTTGATATCAAAGATCCACCTTACCACTGTGATCGTCATTAATTTATGGATAACAAAGATCTCCATTACCTGTAATAACACCCCACTGTGGGCGTCTACGTTTGGCCAGGGGTTCTTTGCCTTGCCTTGCTCCAATAAAACATCCGGGACAATCTTGTAAAGCTGAGACACTAATTTAAACATGGGGTCGTTAGGGAGCTTCTCCAGGGCGAACTCTCTCTGACACACGTGTAGACGGGGCCGTATCCAGGGACAACCTGAAACACATCAAATATATATATCTTAATGCAGAGCAGTATGACAATTCTAAAACACATCAAATAGGACGGCAATGGTACTACCTAAAACACATCAAATATACAACGTATCCAGGAACAACCTGAAACACATCAAATATACAACATAATCTTAATGCTGAGCAGTATGACAATAGCCAGGTACTACCTAAAATCACCTGAGCAGTATGACAATGTACTACCTAAAACAACAAATATACAACATAATCTGACAATATTGAAACACATCACAAAATATGGTCTAAGTTAAACGATAAAATCCATGTAGAAAACTACTATCCTTCTTCAGTACTGATCAGTCCAGGCCCAAGAGAACCTAAATCTAATATTCTGTAGATTCCTTATTTTTCGCGAGTATTTATTCTAGCAGATGTGCTCTTCAATGCCTAATCCCGAGAATATATAATAATTCGCAAATGGACGGTTGGTCAAGAGATTTTACATAGATTTCAGCACCATGAAAATAAAGGTGAGTGATTTAATTTCGTGTTTGATGCTTCTTGCAAAGTTAGATGATAATCAATTCCACGCGTATATTTAGGAATCTACAGTACACCAACCTTGTTATCTCTCACTTAGATATTTTGAAAAGTTTGGATATACTGAAGTGAGTAAAATATCCCAAATGTTTTTCCTTTATGAATTTTACCTTTTATACATGTATCTCTAATCACCAGACATTGCAAAGATTTTTCTTCGTGTTCAAGATGACATGGTTTGACTGAGTTTCAAAGTGACATACACATGTACTAATGTCATTAATGTAGAATGCCAAGAAACACAAAATTTTTCAAGCAAATTATCAGACTGAAGATTAATAGCAAAACAAATCGAGGTGTAACACAGAACTGACATCAGGGTAGATCTTATATATTTTTATCATAGGGGTCGGAACCACCCATTTATTTTGCAAATATATACAAAACATAGGCATTGTAAATGTTTGTTTACTTTTTTTGTTGGTTTAGCCTCCCCACTTTCAATTAGCCCCCCCCCCCCCCCACTTTCAATTTGCTTCCGAAGCTTATGTTAATGAATTAAACCTGTTATCAGGTAGTTATACAAGAGAGCACAGTGCTCCAAGTTGCGACTAAAACGGTCGCATTTGCGACCCAAAATTTGGTTTTGCGACTAGAAATTAAAACTGAGTCGCATTTTCGCGACTGAGAAAATTTGGGCTGGCAACGTCCATCTTTTTATGTCAAAACAAAAGACAAATTATCTACCCAACACATCGGGATGTCAAGATGAGAAGGAAATTCTAAAATGTGAGATACAAATATATCAAATTACGTATATAAAATTTTCAAGATTCTCTATCAAGACAACGTTTGAAGATAAATACTTTAACACACTTTACAAAGCGTCGTATGGACTTAGATCACGTAATGTTATGACAGCATGCTGTAATAGTTAATTAAGTTAGATAGAACCAGAAACATATATACTTAACGTTTCTGAGAGAATGGCATCCAAATATTGTAAACTTTTTAGAGTTTCTCTGACTTTGTTATTAGAGCATTTGGTCAATGGCTTGCATATCACAGTTAAGTGTTTTGGCGGCATTGATAACGACTGAGTTATGGGTACATGTAAGATACATAATAGTAAGTAAACAGGTAAACATGATAAACAACTGGCAAAGTTTTATTTTATTTTGATTAAACTCTAATTCTAGGATCAGATTACTTGTGTTCTTCTGTGTACATGTACTATACAAAGGGTGGTTGTATTTAATAAAAAGAATTATCCTTCAACTATCAAAAGATTTCTAGTCACAGTAATTAATAATCTTTGAGTCAATAAAAACATAACACATGTGAAAGTTAGTTCATTGTTTTAATAGTGTTATTTACATGTTTTAATCATGGCGAGTGAAAATTTTGTTTATGGCGACCAGAAATTCTGAAATGGCGACCAAAAAATTTTTTAGGTCGCCATTTAGCGACCTAAAAGTAAGTGCGACTTGGAGCACTGGAGCAAACATACTCACATTTTACATTAAATGTTTAAATTGATAAAGCCAGAGTTACCTTTCCTGACTGGAGGGTGTTCCACACGAAGTCTCTCAGTTTCTCATCTGACACAGAATCTCCCAGCTCCTGCTGCACCTGTGTCAACCAGACTAGCACTTCCTGTCAAAGTGAAAGTCATATTAGAAACTAGCACTTTCTGTCAAAGTGAAATTTTAATTTTATCATTTCTTGTTGAAACGAAATTAAAATTATGCAAGCAACAAGTTTTTGTCAGTGGTACACTGTAAAGATAAGAAGAAAACTGAGCTTATGTGATTGGTTATTTTACATAACATCTAACTTGACTGGATGGTTACAAAAGCCACCCAAACTGATTGGATATAAACTGATGGTAGAATTTGTAATCTTGAACCTGATTGGCTAGACCGTGAAGTGGCCCGGCCAGACCGTTCATTCCCCCTGCGAAGCTGATGTATGGGTCAGAGAGGGCGCTAGCGATCAGGTGAGTTGTGTGGGCGCTGACGTTACCGCCCTCATGGTCACTGGAAGAAAGAAATAAATAAAAAGTTCACCACAAGCAGCATTTTTTTCCAATAAAAATTGAGAAAACAATTAGTTTTGTTTAACTGACTATTATTTGAAAAATATTGAATAATTTTTTTCCCTGTATAATAGATTCAAATCTGTATACATAATCAATCACGTGCACATTAAGATTTTCCTTCTGGACCAGTCAAGACCAACATAATTGTATCCTATTTATATAGGGAGTATAACTTATAGGGAGTTTATATTTTAAAAGGTGTCCCTTGCTAATTCATCTATACAATCATAATGAAAGGATGAAATCTACACTTGTATAACATACCTGTGAATGGTGAGGTACAGTCTCATGAGCTCGGTGAAATTTGGGTCATCGTATCCCAGCATGCTTGTGAAGTTGTAGCTCCAGTCTTTGTCCATGTCTACGACTCCGACTGAGGTACCGGCGCGATACAGATTCCTGTAGATAATGGCGGCAATGGTGGGAAGTCTGGCTATCAGATCCATGGCATCCTCATAGGCGTACTAAATAATGACAGAACAGAAATAACATATAGTGATACAGATTCCTGTAGATAATGGCAGCAATGGTGGGAAGTCTAGCTATCAGATCCATAGCATCCTCATAGGCGTACTAAATAATGACAGAACAGAAATAACATATAGAGATACAGATTCCTGTAGATAATGGCTGCAATGGTGGGAAGTCTAGCTATCAGATCCATAGCATCCTCATAGGCGTACTAAATAATGACAGAACAGAAATAACATATAGTGATACAGATTCCAGTAGATAATGGCGGCAATGGTGGGGAGTCTGGCTATCAGATCCATAGCATCTTCATAGGCGTACTAAATAATGACAGAACAGATATAATATACAGCATTCTCATACTCATAGGCAGATTAATAACAAGAGATATTTGTAAAACACTTATGCCCCCCAAAATAATTGAAATTTTCCAAGTCCAAAGGATTTGTCAAAAATGGTCTGATTGTACCCAAAACAATACTTGACCTAGATATTCATATGATCAAACTGTAAACTAAATTTCATTTCAATATGCAAAATTTTGGCGAAGAAAATGAATGGAAACTGCAAATAATTGAAATTTTTCTAAGTCTAAGGGGCGTAACTTTGTTCAAAATGGCCTGATCTTACCCAAAACAAAAATTGACCCATATATTTCTATGAAAAATCTGTATACCAAATTTCATTTCAATATGCACAATCTCTGCATAGAAAAAGAATGGAAACTGATGCTGGACCGACAGACAGACTGACCAACAGACAGCAGCAAAGCAATATGCCCTCCCTTCTCTAAAGGGGGACATAATATAATGCCAAAATACAGTGAGAGGAGAGAACCATCATACAGTCAAATCTTCCCAGTTTCTCTAGACACCCTTACCTCCCAGTATTTGAGTTTGTTGACTCCTTCTGAGTAAGCCTTACCTCCCAGTATTTGAGTTTGTTGACTCCTTCTGAGTAAGCCTTACCTCCCAGTATTTGAGTTTGTTGACTCCTTCTGAGTAAGCCTTGGCGAATTTACTCTCGCTGTTGAGGACTGTGATGGCGGCACTGAACTGGGTCATCGGGTGAAGATTGTGAGGGAAGTTATTCAGCATTGTGATGACGTGGTTAGGGAGGGGGGAGCGTTCATTCCACTCCTGTAATAGAAAGATAAATAATTCAACATTTTAATGACCCGCAACGCACAATAATAATCATTCAACAACAAAAACATCTGACATGATGTTAAAATACAGGGAATATTTACTATCAAACCTCAAACCAATTTGACATGATTTACTGGGATAAATTTGCATCATGGAAATCTGAGTATTAAATTAACTTTTAATATATAACTAATTCAACATCCTGCATAATTGTAAACAAGAAATGCTTTAGATATAAATACTGGAATGAGAGTAGATCCCACTTTAACTGGGGTAAACTAAATACCGTATATACTCGCCTATAAGTCGGTTTTTTGGGAGTTAAATTTTAGTCCAAAAGTCTATGTCCGACTTATAGGCGAGTCATAAAAGGTCTGCTATTTTTCTGGATGGCGAATTCTTGTATTCTATAAACATTTTCAAGAGCTATCGTTGAGCAAATTCTTGATACATTATATCATTTGTGTACTCTAATATCAAACGTAAAGTTCATAATACATGCATTTAATGATTTTATTTTTGTACTTTTAGAGGGCATTATTTACTTTTTTAATGATTTAAAGTTAAATATCGTATCCATTTTAAAAAATATTAATTAATATCAAGTTAAAACATCAGAGTATTTATCAGAAACCGTCATCTGATTCAGGCAAAAATTTGTACTGACTTATATGCGGGTCAATGACAAATACCAGCAAAATAGCCTCAAAAAATACAACCGACTTATAGGCGGACCGACTTATAGGCGAGTATATACGGTAATCCACCTTCCTTTGATCCAGGTGACCTTATTATCCCCATCTACCTTTAACTCAGGTGAACTCAGGTGAGCTAATCAACCCTGCCTATCTTTAAATCAGGTGAGCTAATTTACCCTGCCTACCTACATGTATGACTCAGGTAAGCGAATTAACGCAGCCTACCTTTAACTCAGGGGAACTAATTAACCCTGCCTACCTTTAACTCAGGTAAGCTTATTAACCCCGCCTACCTTGGTTATGGCGTCCACCTGTTGCTGTGTAGGAATGTCTCCGGTCACCAGGAGCCAGAACAACCCCTCAGGTAACGGCTGCTCTCCTCCCTTAGCCATGGGCAGTAGCTTCTGGCATTCTGGGATACTGTAACCACGGAAACGGATTCCCTCATCCGGGTCAAGGACAGATGTTTCTGTGACAAGGCCGCGGATACCCCTCATACCACCATACATCTACAGGTACATCAAAATAGATATCAATATCTAATACATCTAGAGATATCAAAATAGATATCAATACAGATATCAGTACATAAGGCCATGGATACCCCTCATACCATCGCACTTCTAGAGAGATATGAAAATAGATATCAACACAGATATCGGTACACGAGGCCTCCAGTCTATGCGAAAGACATCGGACCGTCGGTCCTGACCGATGTGCAATGCCTTGATCTGGTCCGATGCATCCTTTATTTACACCGGACCAGAATGTCAGCGATGTCTCAGAGTAAGAAATAGATTTTGCCGACATCGCTGACAAAAAATAAAATAGTCATACTTTAATTTTATTACCAAATCCAAGTGCAAAGAGCTTTCAAGTTGTGATGAATGTTTATTACATCGAAGGAAGCACTGCCATATTTTTTTTCCGCCATTGAATATAGGGTCAGACTAATAACAGGAAACGGACAATAATACGATGTTTTACTACACAAGGAAAACATTTTAAGTGTAGACAATATGTAGTAATCATTACTATAATCAAGAATAACAAGTCTAGTCTGGATAACTACTTTAAAACTTGTAATCCCAAGAAATAAATAAATGTAATGAAAGGTGGGACTAATATAAGTAATATACCCATTGACTGGAATTTTAAAGAAATATTTTTCCATTCTGTTTCAATATATTGATCTTGTGTTAAGTAATGAAATATTAATTTCCACTTTTTTAATAAACATTTTTGAATATTATATGTAATTAGGTAAATGATTTTATTTTGTAAAAACCTGACTGAAATTTGAATAAGTTTAACTTCTATGATTATTAATCGATTATAACTGATAATCATTTTCCATCACTAATTTTCGTGTGTTTCATTTGTTAACATTAGGTTTTTCGGTCTGACAAAATTTGATTCGGTCCTGTGTGTTGATTGGCTACATAGGACCGAATGTCCTGTGTGGTAGAAAAAACTTTCGCATAGACTGCGGCCTCGCATAACATACATCTAAAGATATATCAAAATGGATATCAATATCAATATCTAAAACATGTACAGAGATATCCAAATAGTAGTAATTTTTAGTTTAGTTGTTAGTTTTAGTTATTTGTACCCACCATGTCCACCGTGACTTCTCCGACCTTGGTTTTCCCATACTCTTTACGGAATGCGATCACTTCCTGTTGTTTCTCTGGGATTTTGACTGTTAACACCTCCTTTAGATTCTGCAAAACAATTAACTTAATGAGTACAGCATCCATAGTTTAATACAAATATTCTTAAAGAAAACTTAAGTGAAGATGCATATTTTACCAAACACAAATGTACAGTATTTTTTGTGAAGAAAATGTAAAGTCCCCTTTCATTGTATAATTATGGATGTGGAAGCTAAGGCTCTCAAAAAGACTCAAACCTAGAACATGTATAATATTTATAATAAAGAAAAACAAAAATATATATATATCTCATACCCAGACTTTCCCGTTGTGTGACACAAGTCAACCTATTGGGACATTGTTTCTCAAACATGTTTTATATCAACTAAACCATCACTGACAAAGTCATTTAAGTCAAAATAATGTTCAGTTCACGTGTCTTCCTCATTTTTCATTTTTAAAGTTGCGTAATTTATGATCAAGTTACACATTTGCTCTAGAAAGGCTACTCTTCCTTACACAACAAAGGTAGCTAAAGTAAATCCGAGATCATATAAAGTATTGATTGACATTCCATTCTTCCTTATACAAAACTCATTGTAGCTTTTATATTCACACTTGCTAAGTTACAGAGAATTTCATTAACCAGCAATTTTTCTACCCTGGCATTGGAATGTGTCAGGTATGGATTCAACTTGGGGAAAAAATTATCAAATTAGAACAAAGGGTAATTTTCTGTTGAGTCGAAAAATGAATTAATAAAAATTATCAATTTATAATTTAATTTCAGTTGTAACGTGTCATTTGATTGGTTAAACTGTTTTATCCATTTCGTATAACATAACTTGCCTACGTCACAATGAGTTACGTCAAAAACGTATCACTCCGCTTGACGTTACTTTTAAAATAATGCCCAATTTGAAGCCTTTTTCCAGAGGAAATATTGTCTCATTGTCTACATTGAAATTAAATTATAAGAAATGAAGCTTATTTCAACTTATGTTATCTGATATAACAAAACTTAGGGCAGTTTACGCTTATTTATAAACAGCGAAGCGGTTTATAAAGCGTAAACTGCCCCTACTTTAAGCACAGCTGCCCTGCCTCATAATGACTGATCTGTAGTTCTCTTACTTCCAATTCAAGTTAAACACTTGTGTATAAATTTTTATATGGAAAGAAATACAATGTTATTTGTCTCATTCTCTGCAGTTAAATTTGGAATGTTTAGCAGGTCCAGTCCAAAGACTATTTCTACCTACGTAGGTATTAATAGCTACGTAGGTTCTTAAATACTAGGGATGTCAATTTTACCCAAAGTAGCTATTTTTACCTACTTTCTGCTTTACTTGCATTTTTTAGCCAAATGCAATATTTAACGGCGCAACATGGTGAGCACACAATTTATGAAATTATTAACAGTCACACTGATGATGAATATGACAAAAATTTGGCCAAAAAATGTAAACTTCGTATATTATCAATTTTGCATAGAAACTAATGCAAAATTGCCGATTCAGGAAGAAATCATTTTTTGGCCAAATTTTTGTTGTATTCATCATAAGTGTGACCATATCAAAAAATACGGTGTATACCATGTTGCGCTGTTTGGTCTTTTGGTCGCAAAATGCAGAAATTATATAAAATAGGTAAAAATAGCTACTTTTGGTAGCTTTAAATACCTAGGTAGCTATTAATAGCTACGTAGGTAGAAATAGTGTTTGGACTGGACCTGTTTAGTCTCACAATTTGGAAAAATAAATGGTTTTTGGCATTAGGAGTGGAACCTTTTTCAGGTACAGTTATAAAGGGGAGGAGGACTCAGTAAAAACACAACAGTAAATTCTTAAATATATATATTTCCCTATTAAAACCTCTTTTGAACTCTGTATTTTTTTTCCAAGGGAAGTAACTTCTCACTTACTGTGGATGTAGATGAAGATTGTGTTCCATAAAAGCAGGCTGGATGCACACACTGAAATATCAGAGAAAAATTAAACATTGCTAATAGTAATACATCTACAAGAAAGAAAATTTCTCTAGTTATTCTAAGAACGACCTGTTCAATTCCTGTGCCGGTGGCCTTTGAGGAAATTCGAACTGTTACTAGGGTTTGGCCAATAATACGTAAAACATCGTGATCAGTGTAACTGCTTACTTCTTCTAACAATCTTAATTAACTTATTTACTTTATTTATAACCAACATCTTCAAATTTCTTGACTGCTAGTCTATAAAAAAGAATATCCAACAGAATGCATATCCTCATCTGTTACTAGTTCCACGCTTTAAACACATCGAAGCGCTGTACACAGAAAATGGCAGGTACAACAACCTTCCTATTCTTTGTTTTATTTCTTATTTTACCTTTTGCTGCCTCAGCAGATGTGATGACAAGGTCCGAAACATCGACATAGTTTCTGTTTCACGGATCCTAACCAAGGTCGAGTCCACTACTGTGACGTCATAGTCACGTGACTTCAAGTATCTTCGATCCCGACCCAAATGGTTTGGAAAATTTATGCATCTTTCTCCAAGGCATGGTTAAATGATCAATAAAAATATATCGACAAATATAGAAAGAATAATAAATATGATAAATTCAAAAACAAATGAAACACGTTAACTAAATTACTTATTAAAGATTAAAAAACTATATATATCAAAGAATTAAATAGAGAATCCCAGGCGCGGATCAAGGGCGGGGGGGGGGGGTCTACTCCGAAGAAAAAAAAATCCAACCCAGAAGTTTTTTGACAAGGAAAAAAACAAAAAACAAAGGCAAAAACAAAACACCCCCCCCCCCCAAAAAAAACAAAACAAAACAAATTTAAACAAAAACGTCATCGCGCCAAAACGTGAATGGGGGTGGAGTGGGGGGGGGGGGTGGGTTAGGTGTTGACTTCCAGATCTTCTTCATACCTATTCATACTTATGACTTTATACCAACTTAATCTTATCCAAGTTTTTGAGGGAGGGGGGTCCAAAGTCACTTTTTCCTTGGTTTAGTAAATTTATTAATTTATTAGCTCTGCAACCTTTCCCCCCCCCCCCCCCCCCGACCCACTCTAGATCTGTGTATGAATCCGATCATATGTTAACTTCTCGGGTCTGCCTGCTCTTACCAATTTTAAGATTCTGAAAAAAAAAATCGATTTCTCACTGGCGTTTACACCCCCCTTCCCACTCCCACCCCTTTTGCATGAATTACATGTACGAGTTGTTTACGCGACCGGAGAGGAGGAAATAATGTTCACGGGTTGATGATTTCTTATTTGACAGAGAATTTTAAAACTTTAAAAAGGTTTTAAGCTAGGGTACATATATAAATCAATTTAAATACGTTTCCAAGAAGAAACAAAAGATTGGAGCGGAGCACTTTTTTCTTAAAATGATACAGGAAATCAATTATTACATTTAAAAGATTTCATTTTAGGACTTTAAATCAAATAGATTTTGAGGATATTGTGCTCTACCAAAATTCGTATTTCTTTTCATATATACATGTATATTTTAATTGAAAAATTCAATTTGTTAAAGAGGATCCCGGACAGTATATAAAACACTATATAAATCAGTATATAAATCAGTATATAAATCAGTATATAAATCAATTTATAATACGTCTCCAAGTAGAAACAAAAGGAGGGACTACGATGTATCTCAAATAATTCAGGAATGATTACACATTGAAACAATTTTGTTTGTGGACCAGAATGAAACGTGGGTCACTAAAATAACATTAAGCTCGTTAAAGCTGTTTACCATGGCCAGTAAATTTAAAAAAAATGAAAAGATTTTAAGGGGGGTGTACAAGCCATATTGGATCCAGTCTGGTGTAAAAGTAGTCAAGGCCGTACGTATAGGTAAAAATTTCCCGCCAAATTTGGTATAACATAGGGTAGAGCAGGGGGTCGGGAAATTGATGTCCCCCTGGGGATATACGGGTAACTATGATGAGGGGTCCCTTGCATTAATTTGTTAACCCCCGGGAATTCTTGTGGGTGCAATCAATTCCCGCCATTTATACACACAGATTTTTTTAGGGTAAAAGGCTATTGGTTTCACATAAATGAAATGGAATTATGTAAATCCGGTAA